CGGATACGCAAACCTTTTCATAATTTGTAATTTATTTTGCTATCACGAGAAGGGTGTGTACATATCAATTTAAGAAGACGAAGTTATATTACCTTAATGTACAATTAATTTTTATTTTAAAAGTGAACATTTAATATTAAAATCTGTCAAAAGCACTCAAAGTTGCTTTTGGAATTTATTTCATTTATTTAGAAACATGTTTCAGGAGATATAATTTCTCCATCACTTCTGGTTTTCGAGATATTCTATCAACCAATCAAAACTTCAATATGTTTACTTTCCACTTTTTTCGTTCATTAACTTTTTTGACATAAAAGAATTTTCCCTGCAATGAATTTTTAAATGGTAAATATTTTGTAAACAATGAACAGCTGTTGCAAACAAATGAAGAAAATTTTAAGGGAATAAATTATGTGCTCTTAAGTTTGAAAAATCACCGTTTTGGCCACATTTAAGATAAGACAAAAGACATCTTTATTTATAAGTCTTCTTCAACCGAATCTGTGGATTTTAAAATAATATGTGTGTTTAATAACTGAAAGTTGTTACTAATTTTCACAAAAATATTTGAATCTTGTATTGAAATTAAAAACAATTTAAATTGTTGTGCTACAGTGATGAGTCAGACCTCTATCACATTACATTTTTGATCTGATTCTGACTACATTATTATTATAGTTTCTTCTTTGACGTTTATACGATCTCTTTATGGAAGGAAATCACAATTAACCATAAAGGTCTCCGTGTGGAGTTGCACCTTCCATACCAAGCTGAAATAAACATTGATACCACCATCGGTGTAAATTTTAATAACAATATACATACATACATACATACATACATAATTAACTATACGAAGGATTGTCAAAATATTTTTTTTAAGATCCTTTCAGAGTGCTATTGAAGTGATTATTGTGCCAATATTAAGAAGTTCTTATAAAATTGTTTTGAAGAATAGATTTCTTAGAATTATACAAATGAATGTGGTTTCTATAATCCATGTACATTATTTCTTTTACTGTTATGACAAATCCTCTTTTTCTGATGAAATAATAAAAAATATTATCCGTCTTAAAAATATGACTTCAGAACTTTTTTTAATAATATATCAAATGAGGATGATTTGCAAATTTATTGTGTATATAAAATAAAAAGATTACTTGATATTATTAATAAAATTGTATATGAAAACACCGTAAAATCTAATTTATTGATATAAAAGTTAAACAAAAATTATGAAATGCTAAAAATTTATTAACAAACAAAATGTACTTTTGTAGTTAGTATTGATTAAATTTTTTTATAATTATATTATCTGTATAATAATTTAACTTCTTTTTAACACACTCTAGTGGCATACTTATATATTATGTATGCATGTGTGTTTCATTGTTTAAATAAAGTAGATAATATTATGACCAATATTTAAGCGTAATATTTTGTTAATGATAAAGACTTTTTTTATTTTTTCAAAAATATACATACATGTGATATTTCTTAGAAAAAACGTCAAACGTCAAAGTATTCTTTCCCCACCAATGAACAATTTCACAAATAGATTAATATTTAAAGGGTAACATTTAAAGCGAGTTTAATTATTATTATGTTTTTTAACTTTTTGTGATTTTTAATATAATTTTGAAATATTATTGTATAATACAAAAACTTCATTATAATGAATAGAATATTTAAATAATAATATTGTTTAAATATATAAAACTGATATTAAAATAATAAATCTTTATTGTATATTAGACAATATTTTATCTAATTATTTTATATTTTATTTGTGATAAGCTTACAGTTCTATAACTTATATATTTTCCACTTTATTCTATTCTATCAATAAAAAAACATTTATTCCTATCAATTTACTTGGGGGCAATGATCACATTAGCTTCTAAGTAAAATTTATTGTATTTTTATAAATACGATTTTAATTCTATTTAAAATAAACAATTTCGACGTACTGAGGGCAATTTTTAAAAGTTTTTTTTAATTGCATGAAAATATTGTTTACAAATTTAAGCCAGAAATAACACTGCAGTTGGAGGGGTTTGTTGCAAACCTAGTTGATAAAGTCAAAGCTTTCTAAGGTGCAGTACAGGGGGGGTTACTAGGTAATTAGATTCCATAGTAAAAGATTTCGAAACACAATTTATTTAACATACAAATTCGAAAATTTTTGATTTCAAATCGAATTTCAGGGTAAACACTCCAGAAAAGAAGCTTTAAAGTGATTACTCTCTCAATCACTTAGGGTTATTAATGTGAATTTAAGATAGATTACTCGGATTATTGAAATTTTAAAAGAAATTTCGAAATCAAAACATATACATATTTGAACTTAAGTTTGAAATTTAATTTAATTTAAACCCAGCAAAAAAAGACGTGCAAAAAAAGTAGTAAATGCATGGGTTGAACTGATAATGAACTGGTTCATATTTAGGGGAAACATGCATGATTTTAACATTAGCGTGTCATTGGCATGCATGGGTTCGTATTTGCAAAAATAGTTCGTCATTTAAATGAGTTCTTATAACCAATGAATATTCGATGATTCTCAAGCGAATTTTCATTGGTGCACTATATTTATTTAAAAATGCATTAATGGTATTTCGATTTAATTATCAATATTTAAATAATTTTTTTGAGTGATATTGACAAAAATAGAATAAGATAAAACATAACTAACTGATTTTGATTGGATTTAAATTCATGCAGAGGAAAAATACCTATTGTGTTTTAAAATCCGTTAAGCAGTCTTGGTTTTTTCCTTCTCTTATTAATGGACTTAATATTACTAATTTTAATGGACTTAATATTACTAATTTTAACAAAAATCTAATAAAAAAATTAATGTCACTTTTAATCTTTATTGTATGAAATGCACGTTTTCGTTAAATATTTAACGAGGAGATATCTCCTAAGAGAATACCAAATTACAGTAAAATATTACAATTCCTATAGTGGAGTTACATGAGTGAATTTGGGTGCATTTTTCATGCCTTCACTGATGACAAATTTATTAGAATTTAGGCATGTATTTAAAACGCATTAAATAGAATACTTGCTAAAGAAATCATGAAAATATCCCTTCTTCTTTAACAACTTCAAAATTTTTTTGCTGGGAAGGTTTAAAAACTTCTTATTAAACGTTTTTAAAATGTTAACATATTTTTTATATTTCTAAAAATAACAACAACCTCAATCGATACACATACATTTTAACATAATATTTCCAAATTTCACTAGAATTTTTATTATTGTCTAATATAGAATATAAAAATTCATAAGCAGCTGTTTTTGATATTGTTGTTGTATTTCGTTTCGGTTTTGGTTTCATACTAGTTATCGTTGAAAATCACACTGTTTGTTAGCATTTTTTCTTGTTTTTTTTTATCTAGTATTAAATTACCATGTTTTTACCACCTTTTATTTCATTTCTCCCCACAAGTCCCGCCATATCATATGAATACATATTATACAAAATTGTATTTTTTTATTTTAATACATTATATATTGTTGTCAATTGTATTGTCGGTTATTATATTTTTTTATAGAATTACACGTATTTGTGATTCTTTCTACTTTTATATGTTTGTTTTATTTTTTTATTTTTATTCTATTACCGTTTCGCACATTATTTCAGCGCCAGTTGGCTAGCCAGCTTTATTTTTTCCCTTACTAATCATTATTATTTGCTGTAGCTGCATTTATTATTATTGTATATATTTTTTTGTTAAGTTTATATTGTTATTATTGCAACGTATTTGATTTTATTGCCGATTTAAACATTTGCTGATTAAACAATTTAAACATCTTTCAAGCTAAACTAAAGTACAATTATGAGTTAACAAATATATAAATAAATACTATACATTAGACCTGATCTTTTTCTATGGATATATTTGAAATTTTAAAAGTAAAAAAAAATAAAATTATCAGAGATAAATTTGTCGATGGAAATATGTGAAAATTTCATAAAAATAAAATTATTTAGGTATAAAAATTTAGTCTCATCAATGAATAAGTCATTTTTTAAGGACATATATAATGTACATTCATTCAAAACTAAAGAAAGCAATGACCGGACCATGTGTTCTTATCAAATTATGTTTCTGATGTATTATTACAATACCAAGTCATCTTCGGATAATTAATTTTTATTAAATTTAAAATATGGAAATGAAATCAGTCTGTTTTAAAATAAATTTTAATAATGTTACTCTAAATAACGTGAGAGAAATGGTTTAGGGAGTCAGTCAAACCTATGTCGATTATAATGGACTGTCCAAAGTACCAATTTTTATCTTTATGCGAGCATGTTAAAGTACATAAGACAGTTGAGCACATGCCACTGCCTCAGGCTAACCGGAAAATATTTCAGGAAGCAATCCTAGCTGGTTTTATCAGACGTATTTCGATTGGAGACTATAGTAAAGATTTTGATCACCTTCTATCCAAATAAATCTAATTAATTGAATTCCCTCCTTCACCTCAGTCTAGTTCCAATCCTTTATATTTTTATATTATATCTATTCTCTTAAATTATTATCTAATCTTGATTCTTCAGTTTCTATGAAGGGAATTACAATGGATCTCGGTGGTCTCGATTATTCTCGCTAGAACGACCTTCTTAACTAAACCTAAGCTTTTGGCTTTTAAATGTAAGACTTCAACTCACTTCACATACTTCTCAAATCTCTCGGCTTAAATATAATATTACACATTTCACAACATATCGTAATATCACAACGATATTGAATTTATTTTTAAGGGGGAGGACATTTTTAATATTCTACGTAAATTTATATAAAATTATTTAACAAATAAACATACAAAAAATTAACAAATATTTCACACATACATTATTAACTTTATAATGTAAATGTACTTTTACCACACAAAAACTTGTTAAAAAAAACGTTGTTACATTTTAAAAGGCATTATTAATATTAGAAAAATTTATTTAACAATTTAAAACTCTTTTATTTCAGATATAATAACAGAAAATCGTCGTAGCCGTTTCGTAATGATGATGATCTGCTGATATGTTGTGTTTTAATGATGGAAGAGCAGCATACAACAAGAGGGAGTTGTTGAAGAAGCGCCAAAAACAACAATATGAACAAAATTGTTTACAAAAACATCCACATACCTAATTAGAGCGAGCAATATTATTGTAGAAAAAGAGAGAAATAATAAAGTGCAGTCAGTAGAACAACAATTGTAGGCAAAAAATATAAATTCAGCAAAATAAATCGCAAAGCAACAACAAATTATAAATATAAAATAAAATACATACATGTATAATATATAAACAAACAAATAAACAGCAGCAAACAATTAACGACACACATACAACCAAGCACATACACATTGATAGTACGACGAAGAAAACTGAAATTGCGAAATACAAAAATTTCATTTAATTTGAATTGAACTTGAATTTCAAATTCAAAACAACAATTAAAGCCAACTCAATTCAACAGTAACAACAAAATTGCAAAATCATCACATTTGTTTGTTTTAAGATTGTCGTGAAATATTTTCATTTCTTTTATATTTTATTTTTTTTTTTTTAATAATATTCGTTAAATTAACTTAAGTTTAAAGTGTTCAAAAGCACACTAAAATAAAAACAACAGAAACAGAACAGAACAGAAAAAAGAAAAACAAGTAGAAATAGATTTTTACAACTGGACAGCAAAGTGATAAGAGCGCGAAATTTTTAAAACACATTCACACAAACCACAAGAAAAAACAACTACGTTAAAACATAAAGCCGCAAAACTTTCGCAGCGAGTTTTAAATTGTTTAAATTAAATTAAAAAAACTCAACTAATCAATTCATATAACAAGGAAGAGGATAGAAAAAAATTGCATAGCTATAGAGAGAAAAAGGGACAAGTAGTAAATAAAAAACAAAATTGAGCATCATGGATAAAAATATGATGTTACCGAAACGTTCACGATTGGATGTTAAAGGTCCATTTGCCAATGGTCCCATGCAGGCCAGACCATTGGTAGCACTATTAGATGGACGTGATTGTTCAATTGAAATGCCCATATTAAAAGATGTTGCTACGGTGGCATTTTGTGATGCCCAAAGTACATCGGAAATCCATGAAAAGGTATGTATAATAGTAGTAGTCTTTTAATACAACTTATACATCTATTTAACCGTCAATTTTACATATTTTTTTAAAGGTTTTAAATGAAGCAGTCGGTGCATTAATGTGGCATACAATTATTTTAACAAAAGAAGATTTGGAAAAATTTAAAGCATTACGTATTATTGTCCGAATTGGCAGCGGTACGGATAATATAGATGTTAAGGCAGCTGGTGAACTTGGCATTGCTGTATGTAATGTACCCGGTTATGGTGTGGAAGAAGTGGCCGACACAACAATGTGTTTGATATTGAATTTATACCGAAGAACCTATTGGCTGGCGAATATGGTGCGTGAAGGCAAAAAATTCACTGGACCTGAACAAGTTCGAGAAGCAGCACACGTAAGTAGTTTGGGCTCTTAATAATTAAAAGTAAACGGATAGAAAACATAATCTCTAAAAGATAATTAAAATCATCATCATGGCTTTTGTAGAATTTTTATATTTTAAATCAGAAAATAGTGATATTTACAACTAACTACTACCCAATAAGCTAGTCCGAATAGTCAATAAGCAAGTCTATAGAGTAATCAATAGGTTAGCCCATAAACTATTCAAAAAGCTAGTCTATGGACTACTCAATAGGCTAGTCCATAGACTAGTTAATACTCTCGTCCATAGACTACTCATAGGCTAGCCATAGACTAGTCAATAGGCTAGTCCCATAGACTACTCAATAGGCTAGTCCATAAACTATTCAAAAAGCTAGTCCATAGACTACTCAATAGGCTAGTCCTTAGACTACTCAATAGGCTAGCCATGGACTGACTAGTCAAGAGATTTTAACTTAAAATTTTTGGACACCTAAATATATGTGGAGTATATTCGTCTGTTTGTTTACCAATTAAATTTTATTTATCCTTCAGCAAAACCGAAAGTAGAATAAACTCTTAATATTATATTCTTATTCTTTTTCCAGGGTTGTGCTAGAATTCGTGGCGATACATTAGGTTTAGTTGGTTTGGGACGCATTGGTAGTGCTGTTGCTTTAAGAGCAAAAGCATTCGGCTTTAATGTTATATTTTATGATCCTTATCTGCCAGATGGTATCGATAAGTCCCTGGGTCTTACTCGTGTCTATACTCTGCAAGATTTACTATTCCAATCAGATTGTGTCTCACTGCATTGTACACTGAATGAACACAATCATCATCTAATTAATGAATTCACAATTAAACAGGTAAGAACATTTGTTAATTTGCAAGAACATAAAGACACATATGAATGAAAACTAACATAACACTTTATGTTTTTCTTTTATCAGATGAGGCCGGGTGCATTTTTAGTAAATACGGCACGAGGAGGTTTGGTAGATGATGAGACATTGGCGCTTGCCTTAAAACAAGGTAGAATAAGAGCTGCAGCACTGGATGTACACGAAAACGAGCCATTTAATGTATTCCAAGTAAGATTGTGAAATAAACATCATTGTTTTTATTAACGTATGGTTTTTCTGTTTTCTTATGTTACAGGGCGCCCTCAAAGACGCTCCCAACCTAATATGTACACCACATGCCGCCTTCTTTAGTGATGCATCTGCTACAGAACTGCGTGAAATGGCTGCTACAGAAATACGACGAGCCATTGTCGGCAACATCCCCGATGTTTTAAGGAATTGTGTTAATAAGGAATATTTCATGCGAACACCAGCATCAGCTGTAGCGGCCGCAGCCGCTGCGTCAGTTTATTCAGAAGGTAAAATACCACCCATATTATCAAATCAAGAAAAGTGAAAACGAAAAACAAAAAAATTACAAATACAATTATTACGTTTACAATTACGATTACAACTACTACTATAACAACAAAACAAACAAGAAAAAAAAATTACAAATTTTGAAGAAAAGAAACAAAAAAATAAATCATTTAAAAACATTTTTAAATTTTATCATATGAAAATGAATTAACACCCCCTTCACACCATTAAACAAACACTCTATACTTAATGATGAATACTATTACAACTACTACAACTCCATTCTCACTTAAACCAACCCTGTCCTTTAAATTGATCAAAGAAAGAATTAAGAAATATAGAAAAAACAATAAATTAGGCATAACTTATGATGTGTTATGCTAAAACAAAAAAAAAACAATGAAACAAAAATAATACACAAATTTTTACTATAATAATATTTACTATAATTATAAAAGAAATATATATACATATATTACGATATTGGACGATATATATAGTATATGATATGATATACTTTTAGCATAAAAACCAAAAAATTCAAAACTGAATTTTGTCGTTAACACAATTAAAAAGGTTATAATAATATTACTTCATTATTAACCTTATTATATGCATAAATAATACATCTACAAACAAACTTATTCCTGCAATATACATACGTTTTAAACCAAACTACCAACTCTTCAATTCTGTCAGAGAAATCTCTTCATAAACTTGTTAATCCAAATGTTAGACAAATGTCTCTTTATGTGGACTTATTTTTAGATTCTTTCATTACCAAGTGAAACAAAAATGTCAATCTCTGTTGATTTTTTCTTAATATTATTTGAGAAATCTTTGGTATACAAAATATAGCTTTTCAGAAGTTTACAAGCGTTATATTTACAATAAAAGTAATTAAACGGAACAGAATTTTACAAATGCGTACAGAACGAAATTAACTAGAATGATTGCTAAAGTCAAAAACAATATCGAAGTGCAGAAGAGAAGTAAATATATTACTTTGCTTAATAGTGTCAACTTATTAATGAGATTTCATGAACTGTAATTCAACGAATGTTTTGGGCAGAACTTTGAAGATTTTATTTGCACTCAATGTCATATCAAGTTGATCTATAAGAACTTGAATGAAGTAAGTTTTAGAATACTGCTCGTTCTCTGTTTTAATTGTTCTTCTTGTTGTATTGGATGCATTTGAATGAGCTAACAATTTGCTATTGCTGATTTTGCTATTGTTGGAAGTTCTTGCTGAGGTTATAACATCAAGTCGATTAGAAATTTCTTTCGTTACAGAGAGGAGAAGCGAAATGGGTAACTAAGCTGTTAACATTTAGCAGCAAGCAATCTTAAGACTGTTCGATCTGGTAGGGTCCAATTCACACAGGGCAAATTTTATTTCTGCAAATTTTCTTTTAAACTTGCCCGCTCTTTACCATTAGACTCAGCAAGTCACTTTCAGCAATTTTATTTGTTTATCATTGATTTGCTACCAGCAAGAAAAGTGAGAAAAAAATTTAGAATTTTCACCACAAATAACATGAAATTTTTGGTGATACATCAGTTTGTCATTGGAGGGATGTTCGTAACGGACGATTTCAATTATTTTTTGCTAGGTTTTTATATCAATGAGAAACAAAACAATTGTAAACCCGTACTAGCAATCTAATTGTGACCGATTATCCAAACTCTATTCTTCGTAATCCAAATTCTTGTTCATGTTTGTAATAATTTCAAAATTCTTGCAAATTTTCTCAAGTTTAGTAAATTACAAATTATTTTCCTTTTGCAATTACAAAAACATTTCTTTTTCTTTTCTCTTAAATAGAAAAACTGTTTTATTCCTAAATAAATAGTAAATTTAATAATATTGCAATATACTAAATTAGAATGAGTTGAACTTTCTTCTAATTTATCGGTCTGTGCATTTAAATTAAAATTTTGTTCCTTTGTATTCTCGGTTATATTAAAAAATAATGAGTTTGTTTTGTAAATTTTTGGTAAATTTAAAAATTATTTACAAATATACAATAACGTGTGTATTTTAAAAATATCGAAGATTTCTTTTATTGTATTGAGATCATATTTTCATTGCAATTATGTAACAAACGCCGTGAATATAAATTTTATATTTAAAGTGTGTACATTCAACATAAATTCTTTACAATTTGCTAAACGATTTAAATTCTTTTTGACCAACCATTATAAATTTAATATTATGCCAACAAGGACGAACTTTCATATATGAATAAAATAAAATTTCTGCGAAAAACAGAACAACTCATCACATACTCTCACAAATCATACATTTTTACTAAATCAATGTAGAATGTTTGTAGTAAAGAAAAGGATGTTGAAGAGGTACTTTTAGATCGACATATTCAAAAAGTATTAATTCTAACTGCAAATTCAGAAAGTTGTGAGGATTCTTAAAAAAATATAAACAACATTTTTTCTACTGAATTTTGAAACTTAACATTAAAGTTAGAACTTATAATTTAGGGTTTATTTTTATGCAACATTTCATATGTGTTAAATCGTACTTGTTTACTTTTAGATTTTAATATGTCCTTGTTTGTTTGTTTTCATTATTAAATAATATATTTACACACGTAAAACAAAAATACACTTACAATGCAATCGGATCTAATTATTTGATATTTATAAAATCATCAAATATATATAATGTTCTTTTAAGTGTAAACGTTAAATTGATTTAGATGTACATACATACAAGTATTTGTTTTTGTGCATTTTTTAGATATTTCTTTTTAGAAATTGATTGATTTAATATAATATTTTTGTTTTTATATTTTTTTTCTCGCTTCATTAATTCGCAACAACAAACAACCAACAACAATACATTTTATTATGTATGTTTATTATTATTATTATATTTTTTGTATTCTCAAGTATTGTAATATTTCGTTTTTATTGAATTTTCTCATCAAATGATGGAAATGTGTTATGACTTTCGTATATATTTTTTTTTTTAACTTTTATAACGTTTTTTCTAAGTTATATAAAGAACAAACAACAACAATAATAGCTACAACAACAAGAAACTGAAGAAATTAAAATACAAAAAATAAGGTGAAAGTAACCACTTTTGATGGTTAAATTAACAACATAAATTATGGAATTAATAACATTTTAGATTTTCTTTTTTGATTTGTAACTTTAAATTAGTTTAGCAACTAAAAGCTATTGTAGTTTTTTGAAAATGGAAAAAGTATTTCTTTAAAAAATTGTAATAGTTTTTAGTTACTGATTGAATGAGTTATTATTATTATTATTATTTTGATGTTGATTTTAAATGTTTTTTTTTTTTTTTCTCTTTTTGTTATTTAAACATTTTTGTTTTATCATTAATAATTCCATTTTAAAATTTTTGTTTTTGTAAATTGTTTTTTCTAAAAATTATTTTTAGTTTCAATTTGTTTCTTAGAAACCCTGTAGTTGGATACTAAATTCGAATGTATTTTCAACTGAAATTTACAGCTTTGTCTTGCATTTTATAAATATTAGTTTTTAGTTTCAAATTATTAATAACAATTTTATTAATAACAATTTATCAAAGGTATATAGACAATTTTTCATACAAAATTTGCTATAAAAAACCTTTGGTAAATTGTTATGAATAAGGCAGTTCATATATAATTATAGTTATTGTACGTTTTGTCCCAAATTTTTTAGTACATATTTTTATTTTATTGAAAAAACGAATGAAGAAATAGTGAAATCGTATTTCTCGATTATCTGTTATTCAAGAGTAATAGCGCCGTCCTAAGAAGGAAGAATATCTTCTACAAAGTTCTTGAGGGTGCAAGCACATGCCAATCTCATAATCATCAAACCCCTGCTGAACTCAATGCTCACACTGTCTATTGGTTGTTGATCAAATCTTGTACATTATCGTACTGGTCCTTTGGAATTTTGTCGATCGACTCACTTTCCTTGGTAGGGGCTACTTTTCACGCGCCCTTTCCTTCGATGTTCATAGCTTGCTTGGCATTGTCTCTATCAGTCGTAGAATACTGACTGGAGATTACTTTGAGAAAGGTATGAGAGTTCAGTCCAATGGTTCTCATTATCTCAGAGTTTGAGAGTGATTTCGATGTGTCCTTCGTAGTGACGTGGGATTGATCCAATATGATCTTGAGCGGTCGATAGTTTTTCTGGCGGTCTATAGCTTGTGCATCTTCAACATCTTGACATACAACTCTTCCATCGGAATCCTTTCCCTATTAAAAGGTTTAGGTGGGATCCAACTTCCAATGTGTATTTCATTCACTTTTAGTTTATTTTTAATTTCGAACAACACTTTTTAAAGATTCCGACAACATGTGAAAGAGAGAAAGAAGACACGTCCTGTCTGTAGCAAATCATTTTGTTTTTCATAATTTGTAAATTATTTTATAAATAGTTTTTATAATTCGTTTAATTTAATATAAATTTTGTTTGTCGTTTAGAGATCCTTTGTCATTATAATTCGCCAGTTTATATAGGCGCAATTGAAGAAATACAACTTTGTATAACAATTTTATTCCTATATTTCATTTTGATTTTCCCAGTTTACTTTTAATGATTTTTAAATAATTTTCAACATTTTATTATTAAACTTTCTTTCTATTTGTTTTAAATTGTTTTCAAAACATCATTTGAAATAGTGCTAAAACAAATCAAAAAAGAAACTCAAAAATCATAAGAAATAAAACATTAGATACAAAAAGAGTTTATTTGGTATAATTTTATGTAAATGTATAAAATTATAATTTAAGAAAAATAATAAATTAATTAATAATACTAATAAAGTATTAAAAAGATAAAAATAATTACTGACTTTCTATTAAAGCAAAAACAAAAATTAAATAATACAAACAAATACTTAACAAAACGTTGACCAATAGTTTTTATTGATAAATAATATTATATATTAAAAAAAATTGCAATAGACTTTAAATACATATGAATTTTATATTAGAAAAAGAAATAAAAGAAAATTTGCTCTGTACTTTAAATGGTCTCATCATCATCCGTGATTATTTTCGCCTTGAAAGCAATAAAGCAACAACAATGTCCCAAAACAAAACATTTATAAATTTCAAAATTTGTTTAAAAGGTCTTCGAAAAACAGTATACATATACAGGCTTATAAATACATATACTAAAATAAAACAAGATATAAAAAATTAAAATAAAGTTAGTATTAGGACTTTTAGCATATAAAGTGTACATTTAATAAAACAAAAAAGAAAATACATAAATTGAATGAAAGAAGAACTTTAAAGTAAATATATTTATAGGAACATATATTTATGTCTAAAAATGAGAAAAATAAAAATATATATATATACATTTATGTATAAAAAATGCTATAAAACAGTGCAAGAGATTAAATTAATAATATACAAAATAAATACGTTTAGGATAAAAAAAAGTAAAAAAATATGAATAAAAATAATTGCACAATGCATTTTTAGTTTTTTAATTTAATACTAGTTTCTCTAGTGTATTATGTTTCTACATAAAACAATAAACTATAAACAGATTTTTGTTAATTTCAGTTTAGACTTTTATTAGGCACACAACCCCACACATACACAAACAAACAATCAAAACCTTTCCCCAACTCTATCTTTCTCAGTAGACGAAAATATTAAAAAACATAAATATTTTAATAAAAAAAAAATAGTGCACACACACACACACAGATTACTCTTTTTTTAATATTATTCAATATTAATTTTTCTTTAATAAAAAGTTTTATTTTTATTACAAATATAATACATACAAGTATGAACATAATACTTATAAATTATACAAAATAAAATATAAAAAAACATTTTAATTAAACCGCAAAACCAACAACATTTAACATAAAAATTCAAAATCTCTTAATATTTAATTTAAAAATCCACATTCAAAGGATGTTTAATATGAATATTTAAAAGTAAATTAAAAATAAAAAAAACACAAAGCAAAACAAAAACCCATGTTATTTTGTAATGTATAAAAACAAATAAATATTTTTAATAACTGTGAAAGCTAAATAAAATTAAAAATTTCTCAAAAAAAATGAAAATGAAAAAAAAAAACAAGATATAAATAAAATTAAAAAAGAAATAAACAAAAAGTTATTAAAAACCAATAAAAAAGCGCGTAAATTTCTTAAGTTTTTTTTGTGTGGTAAGCTTAAAAAATAAATAATAATAAATCACAACTCTACTGGTGGGATGATGGAATCATTTAAAAAAGAGCAATAATATTAAAGCTATTCAATTGAATTAAAAAAAGAAAACAAAAAATATAATTTTATTATTTGTTTTAAAATACCTGTTAGCAATATCGTTTAGTATTTAGTTATTTATTATATTAGACATATTTAGAATACAAACTTACTTATACACACACACAAACGCACATTCCCCATTTCTTTTAGAAGAAAGTCAGTAATTATTTATATAAGTTGTTGTTTTTTATCTTTATGTTTATGGTAGTCAGAGGCACGATTTAATTTTATTAATTTTGCAAATTTTGAAAACAAAATTAAAAAAACAAACAATTTGCACATTTTTAATCGTTTCCATCATTCCATTTACTAAGGATAAAAATCATTATTAATTTATTTCTCTTTACAGCATTTTATGTTTAACAAAAGTATATATTTCAATATACAAATACTTTCGGCTACAGTTGTTTTGTAATGAAACTGGTTCAAGTTATAAACTTTTGTCTTATTTTAGTTTTTCTGTCTCCTCTCGCATGTTCATTTTGTAATGAAAGAAAAGAAAATTTTGTATTATTATTAACTCAGGGAGTAAATGGAAGCAGATTAAAATAGAGTGAATCAACAATGACCAGTAATGACTAATACCAAGGTACTTAACTGAGACCTTGGTAGGCCTATGAGATAATATAATGTAAGCATATCCATCCTAGGCCACAAATACCTACTATAGCGCAAGAAAACTCTTACGATATATAATTCTTGATAGCTAAACGTGGAACACCACAAAATTGGTCTATATCCTGCTATACCTAATTTATCTGCAATACAATTGCCATAATTATCCCGTGTCTCTTTACCCATATAAGGTTTAGGAGAATGGTAACTCAATTACCATTAGACTGAAATTATTAATTCAAAGTTTAACATATTCAAATCAAAAAATATTTGGTTTTGTATTTAAAAGAATGATTTTTAATCAGAAACTAACGATTATAGGTTAGGTTGATAGCAGTATGTAACTACATCAAATCCGAAGAAATACACCTAAGCCACTATCGGGCCCGTTGTGCGCTCTTTTTCATGGAAAATGTTTGTTGGAAACAACAAAGACCTTATATATATATTCCGATGTTCAGAAAGTGAACGTAATTCCTAAGAATTTTTTAATCAGTGTTCGTGAGATATTTGGATCTAATTTCGGCGAAAGCCTGGCAATGGCAAAGAAAGTGCTCCAGAGTTTTGCATCCGTCTGAATCCGGACGTCCAATTTTGTATAGCTGTGTCCGTAATCCTGTGTATCCACTCAGAATACGTAACATCATACTAACCTTAGACTTGCTCATTTTGAGGAGGCTTCTCGTCCTGCTTTCGTTACCGTTTCAATATTCCAAGAGAACTTATGGGTTTCTCTCGCCCATATTTTTAATTCTGCCCTCGTTGCATCAGGTTTATCCTGAGCTCCCTTCCCTTTAAAGCTATTACATTCGCTCTTCCGTTGCCGACTACACCCAAGTGGCCTGGTATGTTGTAAACCTTACCTCTGGGAGAGTATTCAGTTAGAGCTTTCTTACAATCCAATACCTTCTTAGAACTTTATCATCTACCTTGCCTTCTAGCTGTCGGTGAATATGTTAAGCCCTATGACCGCCATATTTATTTAAATACAATTTACGCATTCGTATTTACGTATAAGGATAAGATAAGGTGGTATGTTTCTGTTTCTGGGTCTTCAATATAGAACCCCAGACCCACTTTGTCCTTCAATTTAGAGCCATCCGTGTAGCAATGGTTCCTACGGGTATTTGCTCTAAAGTTCCGCTTGTCCAAGACATTCTATATGGGATCAGTATTTCAAAGTGTCCGACATATTTTGTGTCTGGTATGCGATTATTGTGTACAGCCTTCCAATGTATCCAGTATTCTTTGATGACGTGTCCTATAAACGCTTTAGGCCAGTTTTCCTAAAATTATGAGCCGTTCAACTATAAGTGCCGCCTCATATCTTATATATGTATGTTTTAATGGATGGAATATCGTTTGGTTGACGTAGTACTCTTGGCGACACTTATACCTAAGCAGCACGTACGCTAACTCCCTGAAGTAGTTTGATATTAATCTTTTTGTCCAAAGAAGTCTACCAGATTATTGAAGCATAAGTTTGAATCGATCTAATTACACTTTTATAAAGCCAATGTGTCGTAGGAGGACCAAAGCGCCATTTCATGACTAAGGTTCTCCTACCATATATCATATCAACCATAATGATAGCTGATCCTTGTACTATAATGATCGTTGATACAAAGTCCGTCCATAATTTATTTATCAACATTAAATATATCAGAATAAAGTTAAAATTCAAAATGAATGCCTTATAAAAAATAAATCACATTAATAACCCCAACTGGTGTAGGGTATCATGTGGTCGGCTATGAACGACTTTACTTTTTTACTTGTTTTGCTTTTTTATAGAATCTGTAATGATTTCCACATATAACTCATTTATTTCAAATTATATTATTGTGTTTCGTATTATAATAAGTGTATTGTTATCACTATGGAAAGGAGTCAAAGTTTTTTATTTGTTACAGTACAATAAGGTAGAATATAGATTTTTATTTTGAGATTTTCTTAAAACAACACGTTGAATAATTTTGTGAAATGTTCTTGTCTTCAGCCTTTCGTACAAATGTTGTTCAAAAATTACAATAATTACAACAAAACACCGAGGAAATTAGTTTTCATTCCATGTTTTCTTTCTATTTGTTCAATTATGACATGTGTGACCTCTTAATGTAATGTATTTATTAGTTCAGCAATATCAATCAAGCTTGAATTTTTTATATATCACTAAAAGTCTATTAAATTTGCTTGTAGAATTAAGAAATAAATCTTTTGATACAAATAAGTATTACAATTTGTTGCTATTAATTCGAAATTTATATTGTTCAATAGCAATTTACACTGACATGTTGCATAAAAATATACCTTAAATTTTCACAAATTAGATTAGATTCAAAACGTTAAATTACTTAATTCTTTTAAATGAAAGAAAATAAAAAGACATGTCTACTACTACCTCAAAATTCCTTTAAAAAAACATTCTTCAAATGAATTTGTTTTACATTGAAAAACTCAATATGTACAAAACAGGATTAAATGGAGGATATTATGCAGGCGCATTGCAACAGGCACACAGTACCACACCCCATGATGCCCCACATAGCGTAGGAGGAGTACCGTTATCAGTGGTAGGCGGGGCAGCAACGAATGTCAATCCATCGCCAGTACCAACCGTACCACCAGTACATGTATTACCACAGGTTGGATTGCAGCTAGGACTTGTGAGTAGTAAATCGGTAGGTACCAACCATCAACAAAATCAACAAATCTTTATTAAAAAATTTTAAATAAAAACACACATAACAATACACACTCATGCTTAGAAAAGAAATATTTATTATTAATAATAAAATAATAAAATTTAATAAAAATAAAATGAAGAATATGTTGTGGACTTCTTTTCTTCTCTACCATTCGAATTTGGCACAATTTGAAATGTTGTTTTGTTAATTTCTTAATTAATAAATCTCATCATCTTTATTATATTTTTATATTATTATTATTATTCTTGTTGTTGTCGTTTTTCTTTCTTTTTGTTTAATATATTTTTAATTTAAATAAAAAGTTGCTAATTGAGTATTTAAAATGGTTTAGCAAAAGAGTAATAATGTAATGATAAAAGTGACACCAGAAATGAGAGTTTCGTATATTTTTTTAATTTTTTATTTAAATACATTAAAAACATACATATTTGTGAATTTATTGTTGTTGTTTATTATGGCTGTAATCATATTTAATGTTGTTGTTGGTTGTTTGTTGTATTTCTCTAAAATGTTTTTAGACAATTCCTTTGAATTTGAAAAAACAAAAATAGTATTTTTACTAATACATCGTGTTAATGCTACTAGTTTCTATTATTTTCCAAAATTTGTTTAAAACTTTATTTGTATTTATTTAAAACTGCAAACTTTTTAGGCATATTTGTTGTTATTTATATATACCTACATACATACATAGTTTTGTGTTTTCTTTTTTAGTTTAGAAAATTTCACTTTTCATGTTTTTGATCGTACATTTTGACATTTTTGTAGAAACAATCCATTATCTACTTGATATATCTACCCCCCCATATTTAGTTTTATTTAAATTTGTTTATTAATAATTATTTTTGCTACTTGATCTTATCTTTACAGCCCCAGACGGCGCCAGACCCTAATAATCATCATCCATCAACATCTAAGCCAGAGTCATCGGAGGTTCAATAGTTCAAAAGCACCGCCACCACCAATTTTTCATAAATATTTTTAAACGTTTTTCTTTAATTCAAAAACATTCGGATGAAGACTCTTTTTCAGAAGTGTGACGTCAAACAATTCAACAACATCAACTTCTTGTTATTTTCAACAATAACCAACCACACACACACCTTAGCAATAGTCGTGTCGTCGTCGACTTCTGTTTAAATATCCAAAACTCAGCTTTCTTCAACTAAAATGCTCTTCAAGATTTGCAAATGAAAAACTGAAAAATCAATGAAATATTTAAGTAAATTATGGAATATTTATGTTGATTTAATGCTAAAACAAAAACGTATTAATTGTTAAAGTAAATGTTTTTCAAAGAAATACAAAATACAAACAAACAATACTTTTAGCCAGAGATCGTTTGAAACAATATTAATATATATAGTCAGAATATATTCATCATTATCGGTAGAAACAGAAAACACGAGTTCAAAATTGTATGTATTTGTATAGAAAATATGTATTAGAAGTGTTTTCTTTTGCTAAAAGTTCGTTTGATTTTGAAATGTTATGAAAACTAAAATTAATGTAAATATGTATAGAAACGAATTTTTAAAAATAATGTAGGCCAAAAATTTTTTATCCAGAGACCACAGTATACTTTTCTAAAGGACTACATACTGTGAATCCGAAAATTATCTCAGAATTTTTTAATCACTTCAACTTTTCGAGATATCGTCCCATGTTTGATACTTTACAATTGCACGAAGACACCTTTGTTTATCACCCCTATTCTGCATTTCAATTCTAATCGAAAATTTCTCCGTTTGGCAACTTTTGTATTCTGCATTTCGATTTGAAGCTCCGACATTAAAATAACAACTAACAAAAACGTAGTTGTGATCGTAATGCAGAATACACACAATTGTAAAGCATTGAAAAATATTGAATTGCTTCTTTATTGTTGGAATACACATTTTCGATCGTAGCGTAACTCGCCTTTAAAAACAGTTTTAACTTTTGTTATATATTCTTTATTCATAGAGATATCTTTACCTAAAGCTTGGAACACCCACAAATTGTGAAAAATTGAAGTATTTACTACAAATTAATGACAATTTTTCCACAAAACTTTGAATTATGGACACGTTGTCTCAAAAACCTAATCTGTTGGGGAAATTCTGAGACCAGATTCGGATTTAGCGCAGCTTAATACTTAAGGAATGTATATCTTGATCACTGGTTTTCTTTCTACCTTTTTCCAATTTTGCTGGCTTGAGTAATTTTAGCCTAAGAAGAGAGATTTTTACTAACATTTTAAAAAGTTGTACACATCTTTAAAAAGATATGCATGTTTTGAGAGTTTACACAAAATTTGTGAAAAACAAATGTTTGAACAGATTAAGGATGAAGAGCAATTTCATTATAACACTTAAAGTTCATTGTAGTTTCTAATAATATATTGTTTTTTTTCCAAAGAATAATAAGTGCAACACTTTTGTTTTTATGAGAATAAATAAAATAATATTAATGTTAATTAACTTACTACTTATACATATGATGGGCATTTATAATTTTAGTTTCTGTAACATTTCAAAACCTGAGGCAAACTTTAACAAAAGTACGAAAAAGTTTAAGAACCAAGAAGAAAATTTTGCACAGCTGGAGTCAAAAAGAGGAGCATTTTTAAAGTGGAAATTTTAAAGAAAAAGAAAATTGCATTAAATAAAAACAAAACAAAATATATTTATAAATATAAACAAAATAATAAATATCTATGTATGTATACATAATAGTATATGTACATATGTATGTACATGTAGTTTATCATACCATCACTGCAAAATACCCACACATCTAACAACACAACCTACTACTATAATAACTTCCTCACATCAAGTAAATATTGAAAAAAAAAAAACAAAAACAATAAACATTCAAAACAACCAATAAGCAGCCACAAACAACATTTTATTTTGGAAAAAAACCATAACAAAAAATGTTATGTAATCTATCAAGAAACAAAAAAAAAAAAAAAAGAAAGAACACGCTTATTAATTTGTCTATATTAAACTAAATATTATCCAAGAAAAGTTAAGAAAAAACAGAGCAACATTTTAGCTAAATTTACGTTTTTCCTTTACAAACAACTTCTTATAATTTCAATCAACTTTTTACCCATTTTCAATGTGGCTTTAATTATTTTGCTTCCATACTTCCTGAATTGATATGCTGGAATTATAACACAACATCTAACTTGTTGTGTCATTTGCCAAACACCACTCATAAAAATTCCTTATTACAAAAAAACTCTGCTTATAAAATGGAAAAATAACACAAAACCTACCAACCAATCCCATTTCCCTTCTTCCATAAATTTTTCTTTCTTCCTACTTCTTTTTTTTTAATTTTAATTTTTCTTTTAATTTCTTTGTAATTTTTAAATTTTTGTAAAGAATTAAATTAGAAAAACAAAAACAAAATCCTTATTACATGTTAAAGTAAAGAAACAACAAAAAATTGAAAAAAATTAATAAAAAACAAATACATCTACTGTATCTATAAATATACGTTAATTTTAAGTATATTAAACTTATGTCTTAATTTTTAATTTTCTTATAATTTTTATTTTTTAATTTTACGTCGAAATCATAAGCTTTTTTGGTATATTTCTATGTTAAAAAAAAACAAAAGAAACAAAATAAGAAATTTCTAATTAAAATAAAAAAAGTTTTAAATTCAGATTATGATTCTGGTAGTTTTTAAGATTATAAACGATAATTACAAATAAAGTATATAAAAAGCGAAAAAGTTTGTTTTGTTTATTTATTAAATTTTGGCAGTGGGGTGTTCAGCTTCTTTCAAACTGTTCAACAACAACAACTAAAATGCTCTTCAAGATATGTGCATTTCAACCGAAAAGTCTATTTTTGTCACGTCACGCACCATTAACTGCCTATATCTAGGGAAAATATATATATTTAAATTATTTATATTTTTATGTAGAGCTCTAATAGCCCTATACATAGGATAAAGAAAGGACTAATCAAAAGGAATGGTCCTAAGATATTGCCAATTAATGTGCGTGACATGATGTGACAAAAAAATATACTTTTCGGTGGAAATGCCCAATGCAAATGAAAACTGAAAAATCAATGAAATATTTAAGCAAATTATTGAATATTTGTGTTAATGTTAAAACAAAATCGTATTAATTGTTAAAGTAAATGTTTTTCAAAGAAATACAAAATACAAACAAACAGTACTTTTAGCTAGAGATCGTTTGAAACAAAATTAATATTATATAGTCATAATATATTCAAAAATGTCATTTCAATTCGATTACATTTCCGCATTCAGTTACGCTATGATTGAAAATTTTGTTGCAACAAAAAACGGAATCATAAGAAAAAGAAAAAGCAATTCCACTTTATTTCAATGCTTTACGATTGTGTGTATTCTGCATTACGATCGTAACTACGTTTTTGTAAGCTGTTATTTTAGTGACGGAGCTTTGAATCGAAATGCAGAATACCAAAGTTGCCAAACGGAGAAATTTCAATTGTAATTAAAATGCAAAATAGGGGTGATAATCTGGAATCATTAAAAGAAAAAGCGAAAAGGTTAGTTTAGTTTATTAAATATTGGGAGGGGTGCTACATCTGCATGTCAATGCAACAACTAGAGACGATCACAGCGATCGAAAATACGTACGTGTATGTACATATTCCAAAAAAAATGGAATCTCAAGAAAAATACTCAATTTCATTTCATGCTTTAGAATTGTGTGTATTCTTCATTATGATCATAGGTGCGTTATTCGGAATTTGGATAAGCTAAAACAAAATCGATCGGAAGAAAAATATGGAATTGAAATCATTCCGATCGAAATATGTGACACTCCTGAAAAAGGGGAAGAAGTATAGAGAAGTAATAGTAGCCAGTGAAGAATGAAGGAGTGATTCAATGCAACAACTAGATACGAGCGCAAAGATTGAAAATACGTACGTGTATGTACATATTCCAAAAAAACGGAATTTCAAGAAAAATATTCAATTCCATTTCATGCTTTAGAATTGTGTGTATTCTTCATTACGATCATACAATAAAAAATCTACTGCCAATTTTCGAAATAATTGAATTGGCATCCATTTAAAAGGGGTCTAGAAACATTTTTTATATAATTTTCTTGTTTAAATTTATGGTCTTCGGACTCTGTCTGTTGACTATGCATCCAATGAGCATCAACTGTTTTACATCATTATCAGCAACCAATCAATAGATATTCGATAATTGGATATTCGGTGCGGATCAACCAGAGTTATACTCGGCGACTGCTGTATCAAAAGTTATATTTTTCCCATAAAAGAACTATCGGCCATAGTCAAACTGTTACAACAACAATCATCAAAAACAGTGCAGTAATGCACTACCAAACTGATCCTACATTTCACCATTATTAGTTTAGTTTAAAAGGGTTGTATAGCAAAGGTATAGATCCACTCGGAGACCCAAAGGTCCATTGTGATTCCCTTTAATAAAGGCAAGGAAAAATAAAAAGAAGACTGAAGAAAAGAGAAAGATGAGAAGAGTGAGAATTTCCCTCCAAAAAGGACAAAGAAAGAAAGTGGTCATGGAAGGGAAATCCCTAATTGTCGTGGAATCTTTTGCCTAGCCAGTCTCACACTCTGTATTCTGTGACATTGGCATAAAATATGCCCTACTGTCTCCAGTTACTCTTCGTCCTCACGCAACCTGCAAAAATCCTGTTTGTTACTGACCCTATTACCCATAAAGGCTCCAATTGCGCAGTGTCCGGTTATTACCCCTACTAAAATCCTTATACTCTTCCTATCCAGTCCTAATAGCACTCTGGTTGCTTTTGGATTTAACTTCGGACATAGTGAAACACTACAACCCATAATCACCATTATTACACAATCGAAATTATTTTTCATTACGAAACTCATGATAGTAAAGATAAAAACATATTTATATAGATTTTTGTTAATTTAGAATTTTATTGTTTGTTTTTATTACATTTTCATTTACATAAATTCTACATGCAACGAATAATAAATGCACAGACTACGATTTTTTTTATTTTAATACAATTTCAAACATTTACATAATTAATAAAAAACAATTACTTAAAAACTAAAATACATCTCAATATTATTACAATTATAATTGTTATATTTGTTTGTTATTTTTGAAATATTTATTTGTTGAATCCCTTTGTAAGTTTTTGTGTAAATATATATTTGTTTTTTTTTAGATCAAATCTCTGGAATATATGTTTTTTTATATTAGTATATATTTATATATATTTTACATATTTTATTTTTAAATGTATATAAAAAAGGGGAAAATAAAATATTTGTATGTATTTATGTATATAAACTACATAGTAGATTGAATATGGGGGAATGTTTCCTTGGGAGTTGTTTTGTTAAAAATGTATTTTTGTTTTGTTGTTGAATATGCCATAAATCATCACATTTTTTATTTATTTATTATTTACACATAAAGTACGTTTCGTTTCAATTAGTTTTTGTTTTATTAGTTAAAAATTTTTCAAACACTTGTAGTAGTAGTAGTACGGAAGGAAAATCACATTTAAATATGTACGAATGTTAAAGTTAAAATTTCATTTTTATCTTTTGGGTTTTTCTTTCTCTTCTTCATATATTGGTTTTTTATCTTTTTTCATACAGCTGCATCAGTGGTTTTTAAAGTTCTTGTATTTTTCTTTGTGAAACAATGATAATGAAAAATTAAGAATTTTATCCGTTTGTTTTGTTATATACTTATATATTTCATCATCGAATTTAATTTAAAAAAATAATATAATATTGCATTATAATGCCTAAAATAAATTGCCATAATATTGAATAAACACTAGGTATTTTATTTTATATTTGTATTGTTTATGTGTTTGTTGATTGGTTTTTAAAAGCATTAAGTTGCACTAAGACGATTTTTTTTAGGAAAGTGTATGTGTGTATGTATATAATCTGCCATGAAAATCAATCAATAAAAACGAGCCAAACGCGGTCTAAGCAATTTGAAGGCTCCAAAGATGGTTAAACCAATTATACCGTATTTAAAGGTATATTTGCAGATACGCGTACTTAAACTGGCAGGTGGGATTTCCATAATGGCTGGTATTGTCTGGGGATCAACATGACCCCACATTTTGGCTATACCATTGGCATGACCAATGCCCACAACACCCACTACTCTAACCGGTTTGGGTTGACCAGCGCCATCTGCTGGCGGTTGAGGCAAGGCGGCCAATTGCAAAGAGTGACATAAAAATAGATCACGTTCCTTTACAAAGACATCGGAGAAGGCTGGAAATTCTCCGGCCATTTCTTGCATTAGCTTCTCCAACAGATCTCGTTGTTTACATTCTTCCACTTCTTCAATGCTTATGGTGTCTGTGGATGTTAGACGCCACACAAGTTTCACTGTTTGCCACAAGGACAATGCTCTCAATGCACGATGTAATGTTATGCGTATGGGACGGTCACCTAAATGTAGCATACACCCGGGTAACTTGTGAATCTCTTCAAAAGCACGTCGAAATTCTCCACCGGGTGCCATGCCTAAATCTTTGGCAATTTGTGCACTCATTTGCAAAAGTAAAATGAAGAATATACCATTAATATAACCATGCGATTGTATTATATTGCGAATCTGTAATAATTCATTTGTTGAGATATATTTTGAATAAAGATAGTGAAATATTCTATACAAACCTTTGCTATATTGAAATTTTTGGCTTCTTCCAAAAGGGTTTTTTCATCTAGTTTTAAAATTGGTATACGCGATGGACATAATTCGACCATAACAACGTCTGGACGGACATTACGAATAACCTAAAAAAGTGTTGATGTTGATATGAAGTGAGAACGAAGCATAAAATTATCAAACCTCTTCTCGATAATATACTTACAAATGATACATCATCCTGTGAGTCTTCACTAAAGTGAGCTGTTCCCACCAAATACACTTTACTGCCGAACGGCGTGTCCAGCACAGTAACCGTCGATGGCAAATTCTTTTCGAATTCTTCAAGAGTGTCATAAATTTTTATTTCACGTTTTGTCACTGGCTGTATACCATTGCCAACAACAGCCGAGTCACCAACGACAGCGGCTGGTGAGGCTGATTCAGCGGCCGATGCCTCGGCAATGGCAATATTTAGTTTTTGTTTACTCGAATGTATAAGTGATTCCGCTTTTCTACGTCTCTTTTCTGCTGCATTCTCTGCTGGCAATTTATTGGGCGAGATATTTTTATTAGATGATGTAACATTGGAGGGTAAAGAACTCATAGCTCCAGTCACATTGGTAGTGTCACTACCCTGCTGCTTTTTAAGATTATCAGTGTCCTCATCATCAGATGAGGTCTCAATAACCAATACAGAATTTTCAATATCCTGCTCTTTAATAGAATTCTCGTTAATTTCTATAATTGACAAATTGGGATTATCTGTTTTGAATATTGTCTTATTTGCTAATTGAGATTTAGGATCGACTTCTTCCTGAGAAGTATTGGTCTCTGTGCTCTCCGATTGTATGAATAACATGCTGGCATTTACATTATTCGCATAATGATCAACTGGCTTATGTGACATTGAAATATTATAATTAGGCCCAAAATCATAATTATTTGAGGCAGTAGTGTTGGTGGTAGCTGTTGCTGCATCCGTTAAAGTTGCCGTGGAAGTAGTTCTTGTGATTTCATCCTCTTCCATTTCACTGCCATTTATCGTTGTATCAAAATCATTTAAAGACGACGATCCGGATGAATTTAGATGAGAAAAGTTATCACTTGACGATGTTGTGGTTTTGGGTGTACTACTGTTTGTGGTGGAATTTAAAGAACTGTTATTGTTGGCACTTTCTACAAAGAAAATAAATTGTGTTTTACATTCATTCTATTAAGCTTGTTTTACGGCCATATCAAATAAAAGTGTTGAGTTCCATATAAATTTTATAAAAATAAAAACAAGTTACAAGTAACACAACGCTCAACGTTTTTATTTAGTTAAGGCCGTTAGGTTCATTTCGACAATTACCACTAAAGGAAACAAAAGTTGTTAGACTATTATCCATAGCACTGTCATATAAACTATAACTGCCAGCGGTGTCATCATTATTGATTGTTCCTGTACTATTGTTTGTTTCGACATTATCAATTTTATTTGGCGTTTGTGTCTGTGATAGATCTGCTGCTGTCGTATATGTTTTGGTGGAGGTTGAAGAACTCGATGATGATAAGTCCATATTTGGAAGAATTGGTTGCAAAAACAAATTCGTTTTTTATTTTTTTCGGAGGATTAGTTATTCTTTTAATATTTAAAGTGAATGGTAAGTTTTTACGTAAACTATGTAATGTTCAAAATTCATAAAACTAAAATGGAAATAAAGGAGTTTATTAAAATTTTAGCATATTTTAATTTGTTTATCATAGAAAACATATTGGTATTTAGCCGGATTATTTTGCTTTTTGAAAGCAGATCCCGCCTAAAATTTATACCTATGTATATCGAATTTTAAGGGATTTCCAATAGAAACTACAAAAGTAAAGCTTAGTTTAAATGACCAAAGTCTACTGCAGAATTGTTACAAAACAGGGTCATAAACATTCAAAATTTGAGGAAGTTTTAATCCTAGCAATGCGATGTTGCAATCTTAAAATTTACCCAGTTTGTATAGCAATATTGAGACAAAATTTTAAATCAATTTGTATATCAAATTGAATTAAATATTTGGACTATAAGCTAACTGAGACCTAAAAAATATTAGAATCTGGAATAAATAGGTAATATACCTATAAACAAAATGACAAACTTGCATTAAGACGACTGGCTGTTTGATTTAAGTAATTTTTTCTAAAATATTGCGCAGTAAAACCGATACATTGAAAAATAGATTCAAATTGAACTGATCAACTGTCGTTTCCACGATAACCGGTTCTACGCAGCGGAATAAACCTAATGTTTTCGGTGCTTCGTCTGAATAAGGGATAATCAATATAATTTTATATGATATATGTATGTATGTGCAGTATAAATTTTTCATCCCAGTCAACGATATTCTAAAATATCATCAATATCAATCTATACACTGTCAATTTATTTATTACGCCGAATGTGTACACAGCCAAAAACACAACATTTGAAAATGATAATGGAAACAGCAGCTGTGTCTTTCTTTGTTTGACCTAATTGGGTACAGAGACAGAAAATGAAAACACGAATATACACAGAAAATAATATTGCAACTCCATTCAATTCACATACACACAAAACTTATTGTCCACGTCACAGGAAAATTGTTATTACATTATGATTTTCTTTTAATTCATTTTACTTTGTCAAATCTTAAGCATTAAACTAATATGTATGTATGTATGTATTCACTGAAGAAAACCATTTAATATACTTTTTTTATTATTATTTCACAACATGCAACACTCACATAGTAGATGTTGTAATGGCATTTATTTGTTTTAATTTTATTTTTTTACGTTTTCTTTTACAATTGGTTTTATTTTGTTGGAAAGTTTTTATGTAAAAAACTTGTATTTTGTATGACTTCAATAACAAAATAAAAGGGAAAAATATAATGCAAAAATTTTCAAAAAATCAAAAACCGAATTAAAAATTTTTTCGTAGTTTTTCTGGTTCTTCTTTTCTTTCGTGCTGCTTCTTCTTTTTAAACTTTTTTGATAGATAAAAATTTTGTTGTGAGTTGGCAAAGATGGTTTTGACAGCAAATGTTGTATTGCCAGATTTTGTATAAAAAGTTTTTACCGTATCAATTAAGAAAAATTAACCGTTGAAAATTTAAATTCATACTTATCACACTTATGTTTCATAATAATTCGAAAATTGTTTAAAAGTCATTACAGAAATGGTAAAATGCCATCAAAATTTCAAAGCCGTTTTTCTCAAAACGATGGTATGTATTTGGATTATGCCAGTCTTGTAGTAAATGAGCGCTATGTAAATTATCCTTCCCAGTAGCGCATAGATTTTTAAAAAGATGAAAATGCAAAACATTGAGATGTAACATTTTAAAAACAAGTGGAAAAGTGAGATATAACTTTCAAATTATTTTTAAAATTTGTTTAAAAGTCATTACAGAAATGGTAAAATGCCATCAAAATTTCAAAGCCGTTTTTCTCAAAGCGATGGTATGTATTTGGATTATGCCAGTCTTATAGTAAATGAGCGCTATGTAAATTATCCTTCCCAGTAGCGCATAGATTTTTAAAAAGATGAAAATGCAAAACATTGAGATGTAACATTTTAAAAACAAGTGGAAAAGTGAGATATAACTTTCAAAAAAAATTTTAATTTTAATAAATGTTATACGTAAATGTTTCCTAGTACAAAATTGTTTATAACCGCTAAATAATAGTTAAATTTTTAACTAAATAATAATTAAATTTTTTATGTTGTTTGTCCGATTCTTCCTTAATTTTAACGAATTATTATTCAACCCCCTCCTATTTTATCGGGGTTGCAAGACCAAAAAATAATGCCACTTTTTACCATGTTGTTAGATTCGCTTTTCAGTCTATAAAGAACCCAAATTATTTTAAAATGTATTTTCATTTCTGGCTTTAAAGGGTTATTCATAATTATTAATATCGTAGAAAATGAAAACTTATACGGCTAACAGCGATTTTAAGCCGCGGGCGAAATTTTGTGTCAGTCGCCCTTCTCCGTAAATGTTTGTCGGCGCAGCTCTTTGCACGTGTGCTTATTTGTTTTGGTTTTTTATTCAGAAATATAGATTTTAAAGTTTTAAAGATTTTATAAGTATAATGGCTCCTAAATCTGATCCGTTGTCCTGTAAACAATCGTTTCTAGAGGAAAATAAATTGTTTTCTGAAATAGAGTTGACTGAGGAATCGAAACCTATTGGAAAATTGCAAGATTTTGACTTGTTGGAAAATGAAATATGGCTGTTACAATGTCCCAAAGGTATGGATGTGACCGAGCTGGAAAATCAAAAATTAAAGATTCCTGGTCGTACAAATATCAACAACAGTGAAGCTGTATCCATGGAATTCAACGAGGGCAAAGAACAACATGCATTTGCTTACTGCAATCGTAAGGGACGTTATGCCTTACGTCTATTACCCGTACGTGGTACAATTGTTGTTAGAGATCGCCTGAAAGCTGCAGAAACTGTAACCACAGAACGTGCTGAAGAATGCTGTCCTCCAGCGAAAAGAGTACCATTGCCCGCCGGCATACGTGTAAGACATCCATTGCTCGGTGTACATTATAAGGATAAGCTAGAATTGGATAAAACAATAGCAAAGCGTTTGCAGAAAGCCGATGAAATATCTGCCCAGATTTTAAAGGAAAGTCTTGTTCAAAAAAGTAAAAGAAAATCTGCAATCGCTCCTGGCAAAGCTAATGGCAAAATGTCGCAAATAGAAATTAGCAGTGCTGAAGATGAAGATGTAAAATTTGTTAGTGAAGAAAAACTCAAAAAGAAAAAGAAGAATAAACGTAAACACAGTGAAAGCAATGCTGAGGCAAACGACACTGATGGTTCATCTAATATAAAAAAGAAAAAATCAAAAAAATCTAAGAATGACGAGACAGTTTCAAAAGATTTGCAATGGCTACAAAATATTTAATAAAATATTTTTTTTTTGTTAAAATGAACATGTTTTTTTTATTCTGCAAAAACTATAGTAAGTATGTATATATAACAAAAAGTTCTTATTTAAACGAAATAAACAAGATCCTGACAAAAAAGAATATATCAATCATCAGGAAGTGTACTACACGGTGTATAAACTCTATGGGAATATTGCTACTAATATTCAAGTGTTGACTTAATTTCGAGAAGAGTATTGGGAAGCTTTTATTTAATAGATATATAGAAGATCATACGGTGTGTGTTCATTATTGGCCGTTTCATTTATTTGTCACGGCACTAAGCTCGTTTATAAGACTTAGTCATTTTCTGAAGGGGACCTAATATGGGTCATTGTATAATTTACGGTTCGATTCCTATCTTTAAGTTATGAGAGTTAAGTAGTTTTCTAAAGGGTGGCATTATATATGGGGCCCACCATAGATTATGACCCGATTTGCGTCATAGTTTACTTGTGCAAAATTTCGTCATTTACAGCTCACTCGATACATTTATTACAGTTTACACTTTAGTCTAGGTGCAATTTATATGTGGAGGCTAGACGAAAACGTAGACCGATATTGCTCATTTCCATCACCAAACCTTACGTATAAGACTTAATTGTGAAAATTTTCAGACTTCTAGCTCGGAACTATGAAGCCTTTAAAAGGCAAATGGTTAGGCATGGCTTGATTTGTCTTAGAATCAAATAAGGATATATTATATTCTCTAACTCAATCAAGTCTTCAATAGGCAGACGGTAGAAAGATCGATTTAAATGATTTGATTAAAATTTCCAGAATATGGGCACACTTTTAAAATAAAATATTATAAAAAAACTTCATAAAATATGCATAAATTGGTTTATTCTTAACTTTTATTTTTGTTTTTTTTTTTTTTTTCAACACTTTAATTTTTGTATATCATACAAAAAATTCTTTTATTTATATAAATAACATAACTAAAAAAATGGAAATTTTAAAAAAGAGAAACAAAATTAATGATAATTTCGATTTACAATAAATTTATGGCTTTTGTAAAATTATTTATGTATGTAATTAAATAATATACATAATTAAATGTTAGAAAATATTATTATTTTTGTTTAATTATATTCAGTTATAATATGTATGTATAAGTTTCTTTCTTTTAACAACTAATTAACAAGAAAAAATCTATATTTAAATATATTTCATAATAGTCATACGCACTAGCTAAATTTTATAAATACATGTTATATGTGTTTAAAGAATAATTTAAAAAGAATTTTAAATTTATTGCTTTGAAAGATGAAAAATGGAAAAAAGCGGAATACCAAATCGAAAATTAAGAATATACTCCTTGTAAGAAGTTACAAGAAACGTTTGTTGGAGCAAAAGTTTGTACTTTTTTTCGTTTGTTTTATTTAAATTTGGTAAAAAGCTTATTTAACACTAAATTATGATTTACGATTAAATTTCATGTTGCTTGTTGTTTGTTATAAATATGAATGTAAATTTTAGTGTTCGAAAAGTATGGTCATCACGGCCATTAAGGCAATGCCAGCTATTAAAGCCAAAAATTGTTTAATTGATTCAAGACGATTGCTTTCTTGCAATAAATCCGGTAATACTGTAACCAAAGCTATGTGTAAAAAGCCACCAGCGGTAAAGGGCATAATCCAGGAGGTGCGAGCCTCTGTAATTAATAATAAATAGTTTGAATAAGTTTTTAAATAAAACTTTGCTTTAAATAAAAATAAATATCTACCCATAGCTGAAGTAACACCTGAACCACCAATGGCTACTAAAGCACCCAAAAGACCAGCTCCGGCGGTTAATAATTGAGCGCGTGCCGCATCCCAACGACTAAAACCGGAACGTAAAAGAATAGCAAAATCGCCTACTTCATGGGGAATTTCATGTACTAAAATAAAACAAAGAAATTATTTAAATGTTTAGTTTATGTTTTATAAAAAAAAAACTACTTACACAATATAGCAAATGTTGCCAAAACACCATGACGAAATGAGACCAAAAATGAACCAGCCACTGCTAAACCATGTGTAAAATTATCTATAGAATTTGCCATAAGATTCAAATAACCGGCAACCTTTTTAGGTTGATCTTTATTTTTTTGCTCACGTTCACGCAAAAAACAACCATTGGGCACGTCTTCTATGTCACAGCCTTTACCACCACAACTTTCTGATGTTTCACCTTCCAATATTTGACCTCCCCTGCGCCGCATTAAACAATTGGCAATTTCTACACATTTTGGTTGAGGATTTTCTTCGTCGGCATTTGCATAGCCGGAAAAGATTTTCTCTACTATTGTGAAAATTAAAATACCCGATAGTACCCAAAGGCCAGAGTTTAGTGAGGGGTGACCAGACGTTGCTACAGGAAAAATAAGGATATAAATTAGTTTTAGAAATTTTTAAATCTATAGGTGATTGATTGTATGAAGAACTATTAGTATTTTTCATCAGAAATCGATATTTTGAGTGAAAAACTTAAAAGTCCATTTTGGGGAAGCGAAAATAATTCCCAACCAGTTTTAATTTGTCTTGGAAACTATTGGTAATAGAATTGAAAGCATTGTTATTCTTTAAAACTTAGGTATATTTGACCCCAAAAATCAACAAATTTGAGTGGAAAATTAGGGTAAAAGAAAAGACATTATGTTTAAGTTATTATATCTTCACCAATTGATAGTTTTTATTAAAAAATCAACTTGACTTACTCTTTTCATTGTCACCTTCCCACGCCTCCGGCAATAAATGCAGAAAAACATCACCCAATAGACCACCGACAGCAAAGCTAAGTAAAACTCTTAGGAACTTTGATTCACCAGCTAAAATAAAAAAAACATAAATTTAACATAATACTTTTATTAAAAAAAAAAAAAAAACATTCACACAATTTACTTACGATCTTTGTATCCTTGTTTATTTAATTTTTCATCTGTTGGTATTATAAGCAGTGGTAAAATACCACTTAAACCTATAACCACTGAACCCAATAGAGAAAATACCCAAGGTGTATATTCGAAACCCTTAAAATATTCGGGCACATATTGATTCATCAAATGTGTATATAACATAGTAATATGTTCATCAAAAAAACCGTTTGTGGAATTCATTTTGTCGTGAGTTTGGAAGCTGTTGTTGTGGTTGTCTTTGTAGGTAAACTAAAACTAATAATATCACAATGGTGTTGTTGAAGTTTTATACAAATCGCTTATCGCTTTTCGAAAGCCGGGAATAAACCTAATTATCCGTGTTAATATCACAATATAGCGGACGTTTAAATAAAATTCTTAGAATTTTGTCTCATCCAAATCGGGAAAATATCCAAATTTTAAAAAATTCTTTTGTTTCTTTGTTTTCAACATGCAACTACACAATGAGAAAATCTGTAACGATAATAAAAAATTTTCATAATTTTATTAAATACGAATATGACAAATTATTATTATTACTAAATATATAGACGCCTGTAATAGTAAGTAGTTGCATAAAATTCCCTAGCAACATTTACTTAATAGATAAAATGTTTATTTAATTTTTTGTTAAATAAAATATCTTAATTTTTATGTCATTTATTTTGAAATGTAAATACTTTTTATCCATTCGCCAACAAAGAGGTCATGTATGGCCAATGCGTCCATTTGTCTAATAATAAAAGAGGGCTTAAGTACCCCATGATAAGATAATAAATACCTGACCAGTTATAAACAACAAAATATATTAGAACAGAAAAATAAAAACGTGAAATTATCTTATCACATTTAGTTTAATTTTGCAGGTTTTTTAACGGATGCTGCTGGTAGTAGAATCATTTACACCCAACCATTAATTAGGTCTTGATCCAGGTCTTTTACTCTACTAACGGATTAATATTTCTAATTTGTTTAAATTTGTTAAATGTGAAGTGAAAATGTTCTTGAGTTTAAGTGTAAAATTTGGAACTTATATATCTACAAAAGTTACCAAAATAAATGGTATATATGAATAACCCAGGATTGGAAACCATAGACTCTAGAGTGAAAAAGTAAAATTCCATTTTTACTTGGAAACTGGATCCAAAATAAACAGAGATTTTTCTATATCTGTGTTTTTCTTGGGTAAATGAGCATAAAGTATATCAAGATCACGGTCCCCGTGAAGTATTTAATGCTCCCAGTACTGTATATCCATTGACAATGCCAAAGAGCTATCCAGATTCCGACGGATACTCTCTAAAGACCCAAATCTCATAGAGCATATCCAAAGGAGTGATAACTTATGATTGCAGACTAGTTCTGAGACCTTTACTCTACCTATAGAATTACATTTTTCGGTTTGTCTGACAACTGTAGATGTAGTTGACGACTGGACTTCGACGACTGGTAAAGCTAGTAGGTATGGGCGGTCAATGGAAATGGTGAAAATAACAATTAAGCATTTAATTTATTTAAGCTGTGCATTTATAATTCTTGTGGTTTTGATTCTAGTGGTATATTTTTGTATCTTACTTTTTGCTTTAAAAGATTTTCATTCTGTGAGAAATTTAAAACCAGGGTCTTACCCGACTATATTATATTTTTCATAATATAACATTTGTGTTGAATTTTAACTTGCTTCCAATGTAAATTTCATTGTGATAGCGTTTCGTGTAAAGCAAAAGCTTTACATGAACAACCGGCTAGACGGGTATGGAATATGATCCTCTAATCCCATTGGTATACATACCTTAATGCAGGTATAGGACCAATATTTATTTAAAAATAGTAATCATATACTACTTTGCAAATATTGTACAAGCTGTGCATTTATAATTCTTGTGGTTTTGATTCTAGTGGTACATTTTTGTACCTTACTTTTTGCCTTAAAAGATTTTCATTCTGTGAGAAATTTAAAACCAGGGTCTTATCCGACTATACTATATTTTTCATAATAAAACATTTGTGTTGAATTTTAACTTGCTTCCGATGTAAATTTCATTGTGATAGCGTTTCGTGTAAAGCAAAAGCTTTATATGAACAGCCCGCCAGACGGGTATGGAATATGATCCTAATCCCATTGGCCTACATACCTTAATGCGGGTATTGGACTAATATTTTTGGGCGTTACAGACATCAGCACAAATCCAATATAGTAAATAATTACCCTGCAAAAATTGAGACTACTCCACACGCGTGAAAGGTGTACTCCACAAAGGACCTGCCCAAAACTAGTCCAAACATATGGAAAAACATAAAAAACAGAGTAGTCCGAAAGGTAATATTTTTTTCTCTTTAAAATGATTTAGTTATTCCCAAAAAATGTTTAATTATGAGATCCTCTTTGAACACATTGAAATTTGTTTATATTATTTGCAATATTAAAAATATTTTGGTAAAAAGAACTTCAATATCTTCTTTAAAACATTTCTTTTTTTTTAATAACTTAAAATCGCCCACAGCAAATCAAAATAACTTTTACTCTTTTACGTTTGACACAAATTTAAGATAAAAATAACATTAAGAACATTATAAATAAATGTAACAGATTTTTACACAATATTTCAAGATCAAAACAACATTAAAGTTATAAATATTTCTTTTAATTTCATTAAGCGCACACGACTGCGCCAACTAAACATGAGAATGATGTAAATTCTCAAGGAAAGCGAGTAATACAGAAATCTGGTCTGTAGTGTAACAAGTTATTGTTTTGTTTTTATTTTTTTATTTATTTTTTTTTTTTTTGTAATGTAACAAACACACATGATGATTTAAAAACAAATTAAAACAATAAATATTAAGGAAATTAAAACTGCAAATAATTAATGCATTTTATATTTAAATAAATTATAAAAAAAAGTTATAACAACTTAAACTACCAACACAAACCGTACGAAGTGTTAACATTAACTGAATTAAATTATTCCAAAATGGTTTATGGAAACTTCAATATATTGTTTAAACATATACTACAGACAGCAGACAAGTGTCTACAAATAAAAATTGTGGTGAATATTATGAAAAAAAATAACAATTTATTTCTAAAAACAAATCTATACTATAGTTAAAAAAAATATGAGCAAAATTTTTCGTGATAAGATAGGACCCCATCAACACACTATAGAAGTCGGAAAGAAATTATAAGCCCCCATTTAAGTATCTATTGTCTGTCGGTAGAGTATGTAAATTCCCCAAAATTGACAGGCAGGACCAACATCAAATGAGGGAAAGTGTGGACTTTTAACAAATCTAAATCTATGAATTAACAATTTCAACAAGTTAATCATTTTAATATTTTTGATTTCAATTGATTGATTGATCACCAAATACCACAAAAAATTAAAGAAGGACAGAGTTGTTCGCATGGTAATAAAATTTATTTTAAATAATATATTACAAGTGTGAATTAATGAGTTTAAATTATAGAAGTACCCTATTAATGCATTTATGGCTGGCTGCTATAAAAAATCACTGTTAATTTTCAATACTTAAATGGTTATTTTAAATTTTATAGCAAACTGTTATTGTTGGCATTTCTACTGTTGTTATTAATGATAAGAAATTAAATAATAGATTTACAATATGTGGTTATAGGCTTGTCAACTACATACGTATGTACATGTTATGTACAGTGCAAAGTGTTACCACAAAAAAACTTTAAAACTTTAAATTAATTTTAAAAATAAAAAATTTAAACGGACCAATATAATTCGACCATAGGCCACCAGAATATACATTAGTCAGTACGTTTGAAGTGTCATTGTCTCAGTATATAAAATTTTTATTTTAATGATTTTTTTTTTTAACCAAAATCTTTTGTTATTGTATTTGTATATAATACAATTATCTGGTTAGTTTTTGTAGCATTTAATGCAGTTTATCGATACTTATTTATAATTGAAATAAAATAATGATCATTGTTTATTTCTACTTTCTTTGTTTTCTTTAGCACACGAACAACAGTTTTTCCTACTGGGCTAAAAACATGCCAATATCTGTGTATTCTTATTTATTAATGCTTATTTAAACAATACATAAGTTTTAGTTCATTAACCTCTACAAAATATTATGAATAATTTTAGCATTAATTAAAACTGTATCTAAATTAGTATATTTTTAATGATAAAGATTTTGTAATGGAATGAAAAGACTTGAAAATGCAAGATGATTTAACAATGTTACAGTTTTGAGAGATAACAATTTAAAATGTTTAAAAATGTCCACAATAAAAGAGGAAATTCTTTTGGAAAGATACACACACAGCCCTTCTAAACTAAATGTCCTTTGTAAGAATCTAAAAAACCTTTTTACTATAAAATAATAAACGCTATTTGTCAGACACATTTAAAACGTTATAGAATAACTCCTCACGACCCCAGTAATATATATGAAAATTTTTTTTCAGAATGATTTGTATATACACAAAATATATTCATATAGAATTTTATAGCGATATATATTTTTGTTAATAAAGTATTGACCTATATGGGAGCCATGACCTATTACGGGCCTATCCAGAAGAAATATTTTGTAGTGATTTGTATATACAAAAACTTAATAATGTGGAATTTTATTACGATATCCTTATTTATCAATGAAATATGTGATTTTCGTAAGTGGATCTTATATGAATGATATGACCAATTATGGACCCATCCGTAAAAATGTTGGTAGAGTCTTATATGTATACACAAAACATATTTGTGTCGATTATTATTTATTTCTTAATTAGTTTTGTACATTTTAATGATTTTCGGAAACGGACCTTATATGGGAGCTATGTTGACCGATAAATTCTCTATGTAAATAGAAAAATTTCAATAAATTCTTTGTTTATAGAAAAAATAATTAAAAAGTAATCTTGGAAATAGTGATATCGCTATTACTTCATTCTTTGGAACATTATTATTATTCCAAATAATGTAGTTGTGAATTATTTCAAGGAACCAGATCTTAACCTACCTTAAGAATTTGAAATAATAATCACTGAAAGAACTAGTTTCAGCACTGATTAAAAAGTTATTTTTTTTACCAAAAAATTAGTTCCGAGGGTGACAAATTCGAGCAAAAATTATTTATTATTGAATTCGTTTCTGAACTCAACATTTTCGAATAATTTTAAAATACATTTTTATCCATTTATCTAATTTTTATACTACATATTTACATAGATATTTTAATAATAAAAAGCCTGTACAGGATGGCACAATAACAGAAATCTATTTTCTATTTTTGTGTACGATAAAAAAGATTATACGATTTTTGATATAGAAATAAATAACAGTTGTTTTTATTTTGTCTAGCTTTAGCAAAACATAATACTAACATATTTTTAACGATTAATTAGTAGTTATACCCTACACCATTTTAGTGGGGAGGGTATATTGGGTTTGTGCTGATGTTTGTAACGCACAATAATATTGGTCCTATACCCACCTTAAAGTATACCAATCGGCTCAGAATCATTTTCTGAGTCGATTTAGCTATGTCCGTCCGTCTGTCCGTCCGTCCGTCCATGTAAACCTTGTAATCAAACTACAGGTCGCAATTTTGAAGATAATTTAATGAAATTTGGTACATGATCTTCTATTGTACCAGGGACGAAGCCTATTGAAAATGGTTAAGATCGGTTCATTATTTCACCTAGCCCCCATACAACTGAACCCCCCAATAGGGCTTGTAATCCTTGTAATCAAACTACAGGTCGCAATTTTGCAGATAATTCAATGAAATTTGGCACATGATCTTTTATGGTACTGTAGACGAAGCCTATTGAAAATGGTTACCATCGGTCCATTATTTCACCTAGCCCCCATACAACTGAACCCCCGAATAGGGCTTTTAAAACTTGTAATCAAACTACAGGTCGCAATTTTGGAGATAATTCAATGAAATTTGGCACACGATCTTTTATAGTACCGTAGATGAAGCCTGTTGAAAATGGTTTACATCGGTCCATTATTTCACCTAGCCCCCATACAACTGAACCCGCCGAATAGGGCTTTTAAGTTCATAATTGTGTTTAATATACTCATATCTCGACAAAAAGCTGCAATAACCAAGTTGTATACAAGACTTGATGACCCCCACGAATTCCATAATAATAGGTTCTCATATGACTCTAGCCCCTATGAAAAGCCCCCATCAAAATTTCACTTAAATGTCCACAATTTTATTCAACAATAAACGGCTTAAGTATGTATATCTAAGGCAAGGTACAATTCAACTTAAATGCTTTATTATGGCAACTAAATCACATTATATTTTTGTCAAAGGTGTAGGGTATTATATGGTCGGCCTCGCACGACTATAATTTCTTACTTGTTTTATTTATAGAGTTTTTGGTTAAAAAGAAAGATAGATATTAATATAAAAACAAATAAAATAAACAAGTTTTCAAAATAATCTAATTAATACTTCTTCAATGTGGTTGATATACTTAGTTTTTTATTTGGTTTGCTATGAATTGATTAAAATTTGATTCTAAGATAGTAAAATTTTGGATACAACGATATCAAAATCCAACGGTGAATACAACGATACTAAAATCATTGTAAACTGTATTATTATTTGTGTAAATTAAATTAATATATAATTAAAAGAGTACTTTTAAGTCGTCTATTCCATCATTTTATAAAAAACATTAACTTTAACGCAAACATCAACACCAATTGTTTAAACAAAGAAAAAGAAGAAAGAAACCATCAAGATTGAGTTCTTAAGTGACTGTTCAAGAAGAAAAAAAAAGAAACTAGTCTTGGTATAATAGAATTTCAGACTAATACAACACTCGAGGGCACGATTCATCAGCAACAAAAAAAGTAACTTCATTGGTAAACATTTATACGTTGTTTCAATGAAAGATATGTAGAAAAAAGAAGCAGGAAGAAGTTTTACGGAAAAGTAAAATAACAAAAATATTAAATACCTAGTTGTTATATAAAGTTAAACTTGAAAAGAAGATTACATGCATATGTAACTACAAAAAGTTATTTAATTGATTGTATATTACAACAATAATAATTTAAACATCATTATGACATAGACTAAATCAATTGATGACTTTTTCTACTTGTAGTTTAGTGATAATCATTCAATTGTATATTCAAATTTTATTTTTAAAATTTATGTAATGGTCTTAAGTACAACTAAGAATTCTATATCCGGCTGTAGCAAATTATATTTACGCTTTACCATAATGTGTTACAAAAATTGTTACATACATATGTAATTTCCTATAATTTAATTTATTTTTATTTTTTAATTTTACATTATACATAATCTTCCATTCCTGAGTCTACCGATAATTTTGGTTATAACAATTCATATATTACATGTTACGTGTTGTTATTGTTGTATTTAGCAAGACAAAGTGAAGCTGAATGTTTGGAAAGAAAATCTCATTTTGTAACATTTTCATGGGTTATTTAGGAAATTTTGTTCAAATGTTCGTTATGTATTGATTGATTTTAAATAAGAAACTTCTCGAAAACATATCTAGACAGATAGGCGGACATCGCTAAATCGGAAATTACCAACAGAATGACCTGATTTACAATGACATTCAGTTTTGACATGGAGCTATCAATAAAGTTAAATTTATAACTAAAGCAAAAATTCTTTTTTTAACTGAAAATGTAGAATTTATTAAAAATTTCATAGCAATAGAGAAATAAGTAAAAACTTTCTTTAAATATAGAATTTATCGAGAATTTCTAAAAAATAAAGAATTTATGAATATTTTTTTTAATTTTATTTATTTTGTATAGATCGAGAATTATTATAATTTTATATAAATTGAGAATTTACCTAACATTTTCTATAAATCGAGAACGTTTTCAAATTTCCTATAAGTAAAGAATTTATACAAATTCTGTTTAAAAAAGAAACAATCGCGAGAAGTGTTCCTGTAAATTTTCAGTTAATTTCACCTAACTGCTAAACCAAAAACTTTTAAAATTTACATGCAGAAAAATATAGCTCAATATTAGGGTCAATAAAGCGGCCAGATTCAGCTAATATTCTATAAATTTAATGTATAATTTTTTAAATAGAAAATGTTTTTACTTATTTTTAAGTAAAGAATTTATTGATTTTTAGCACATTAGTGCAAAAAGTTTATTGTATTATTATAAATTATTTAACATTTAATATGAATAATACTATTAGTTTACATTAGATCAATTAAAAAAGATAAACAAAATACTATTAAATAAATTCGAAACACTTACAACTTTTTACTTTATAAAATGACGTTACAGCGTTTAAATTATTCTAAACGCGTGTTAATAAAAACAAGTTTTAATTATTTACGTTATAACAATGACGTATTAGGAAAACTTTAACAATATATTAGCCATTTATTTTATTTTAATTTTAGCACTTTTTTTGTTATTTTATTTATTTTTGTTTTAATTAAAAAACTATTATTAATTGTAGTTTAAATTGTGATTTCAATTTCCTTATTAAATTCGACACATTTTTTTTAATATTGTTTGCAAATTAGTTTAATTTCTTTTTTGTTTGTATTTATTTATAAATTAATTGAACCGGCAACATTTAGTTATATTAATCCACACAAGACGACATCTTATCAATAAGACGCCTCAAAACCGTTTAATGTTGAAATTCGAACACGAAATGAGTAGAAGTAAAAAAAAATTAAGATTCTTTTGTAAAACTATTGAGTTGATGATCTTTTTTGTTTGCCTTTTCTAGAAAATATCTTCAAAAAGTGTATTTAATAAAGAGAGCATAGGTATCACACAAATATTTATACAAAATAGGTACATGAGAATTTTTCTTACGAATTAATTTATCTTTTACTTGTTGTCATTTCATTATAAATTTTTCTAAACTCACAGAAATAGTAAATCGATCGTTGTTAATTTATACTAACTATGTAAATTGTTTTTGTTTTTAAATCCTTCGGCCATTGTTTGATATTTTTTGCACTCTGCACTCTACTTTAATGGAGAAGAGTGTTTAGCGTAGTGTGGTGTAGAGAATTGTCATTAAAATCAAGTGCGCTCGTGCTCATATATTTATGAAATGTACATATGTATTTACCTAGACTATTGTAATTTTTGTGTGATTAAAAAGCAACAAAAAAATAACATTATTTTTGTTTTTATTTCGATTAGTCTATTATAAATTCATTTGATGTGTCATGTTTTTCTTGTTTTATTCTCTTATCGCGAATTATTTTGTTTTTGTTTATTGTTGCTGTAATACAAGTATGAGAGTGCAGCTTGAGAAATAGACTTTATTGTTAGGAGTGCAAATATAAAATTTTGAAATCTTCCAGGAATTCAGATTAGAATTGGGCATATAAATAAACTGCATACCTATAATAATGTTTTTTTATATACATAAATATTTAAAATTGTGCCTATATAAAGTAAAATGCTTCAAATATATTCCAAATATTGCGTTTTAAACAAAAGACAATTTAGCGTAGTTAAACAAAATTTTTTACTTCAGGGTGACTTAATTAAATATTCTACTAAAAACCTGTATTTTACAATAAACTATTTTTTATTATTAGAAATAAGGTGTTTAATATAAATTTTTATTTTTTTAATAATTTTTGTCAAAACTTCTAAATTTTTCAATAAATTTTTATAGAAGCATTAAAAGATAATAAAGCATCAAGCGAAATTGTAAATTAAAAGTTTGGTTATCTTTAGATACTATATTTTTAATTTTATCATCTCTGTTATCAACATTTCTCGCTAATATAGCAAAAATATGTACCTATACATGTTTAATTTGAAAATTGACAATAAGATATTGAATATGTACCTATATTGAAAATTTATGACATTTCTCTTCGTGAATGTTTTCAAATTAAAGGAATAAAAAGTTTATGATGAACAAATTTAGGTCGTTTTGAGTTCAGATAATGGGAATTTTAAGGTATTGTGCTTAAAGTGTAACAAAAGTACACAATTTTCCGTTTTGAAAAAATATGAATTTATAATCGTATAGGTATATTGTTCAAACACTCATGATTCACAAACTAGTTAATTGGCATGAATCGATCGTGATGAAGTTCTTGTCAAATATATTTTATGTGAACATAAAAGCCAAATAGGTATTATAATCATTATTAATAAAAATCTCTTAATAAAACTTTATTATTTCACAAATTTCAGTAGAGTTAGTTTCACAACCGATCTGAGCCCCCTTAGATAAACATCTATCGAAAATCGCTTATTGTTAGCAAATTCGACGATATAAATAATATTAATCAATCCAACAAATAAAAATGAGATAAATTTTGATAAAAAAAAAGACACGGCCATTTATGGTAGAACATTTCGGAAAAGTTTGAGTACTTTTTCATTTGAGTTGCACTGAATCCAAAAGGCGAAATTGCATTAAAAGAGAAAATACCACGAATATTTGTATGTACGTACCTATATATCGGAATATCGATTATTAAATTACAACATTTCAAATCTTAATCCTTTTTTTTAACGTAGTTTGTTATGAAAATTGTTAAACAAAGGTGAAAGCGAAATTGCATTAAAAGCGAAAATACCACGAATATGTGTATGTACATACCTATATATATATATCGAAATATCGGTTATTAAATTACAACATTTCAAATCTTAATCCCTTTTTTAATGTAGTTTGTTATGAAAATTGTTAAACGAAGGTGAATTCTCGATTTTATAACTTCCTGAATATGGTTGCAGCTCAACTCAAAACTTTAGAAAAGTATACTTTGGTTTTAGTGTTAAAAATTTGTTGGCCAGTGTAATTTACTAGTTAAATTTTTCAATTTTGTGTTTGTTGGGTAATTTCACTCACACTCTTTTACGAATTATGTATGTACCATTATCACGTTATTCTCTTTTTAAGCACGAAAAATATTTATCAATAGGTATAATTTTTTTTATATTTTATTGTATAAATTTTGATTTCTGGTTTTTAGCATTCAAGCTAATTGATTATTAATCTTCATCTAAACAAAAGAAAAAATAAAAATAATGTACCGTAAGCAAAAATCAAAACAAACATGGCTGCAATAATAAATATGGTGGAATCAACAACAACAGAAGAAATGTCAATAGCAAAGTATATTAATAAAGTAGCGACATCTCTTGTTGTACAACAACATCTACAACAACCACATGTATTTTGTTTTTGGAATAATTTAAGATTGTGTCAAAATAAAATTTCCTTGAACAACAATGTGAACAAAACATAAATAAAAAATATTACTTTTAAGTTAAAAATATTAACGATTTAATTATATTATTATATATTATACAATTTATTACACTTTTAAACTACTTTAAAACCACTTTTAATTCACTTTTTCAACTTTTCACAAATTTTAACAAATAGCAAAACACAATTTAAAAATGGCGACGTAAACAATGTTAACAATTTTCAAAACAAACTTTGACAATTTGCTTCATTTATCTAGTTTAAAAAAAATAGTCAGCTGTTCAAGTGATGCTACTTTATTAATTTACTTTGGTCAATAGTAAACAAAAACAAAAATTAGTTAAAGAAACTTGAAAACAAGTAATTGAATTTAATGATAGTTAAACAATTATCAAATAATGATGATAACGTATGCATGCATGCTACCACTTAACTAAACAATTTTATAAAATGCAAATCAAAATAATTGTTAACAAATGACGTTTTAAAAATAAAGAAAAAAGCAACAAAGAAAATAGAAAAATTAACATACCCGTTTTGGTTTAAAATTTGCAATTAAACAGTAATTGTATTATATTTTAGAACACACGCGAAAATATGCTATAATTTCAACTAAAATTTTGTTTACATTTATTTGTCAACAAAGAAATTGATATAAATAAATAAGCCAACAAATACACAAAAAGTTTTATTTAAACGATTTGTATATGGTTTGCTGTTTTTGTTTTATTTATGTTGTTAATGCGTAGTAATTTTTCACATGTATTTATTTTTCTTTTTTCACTAGTTTACACTGAAACTGAGTGATTATTTCGTCGCAGAATTACCCAAGATAAATTTATTTAATAATTTTCACAAATGTTTCTCTGCATTTCATTCGAGTTTTATGTAATTTTTATTATTGACTTTTTATTGTATCTTTTTTAATATTTGCACAATATACAATTCTTCAAATTATTCTATCGCTATTCTATTCAATTGTGTTTAAAGTTATTCGCTTAACAACGAATTTATAAAAAAATATACATTTTCAAAAACATTTTATATAAAGTGCCGTGTTCAAAGCAGAGATGACAAATGGTATTTTAAAATCGTACAAAACAGTATTAAAAATAGTACTTTTCAACAATAATTGTACCAAATCACATTTTTCTATATTTATATCAATATTTTCATAAATGGTTAAAGCAGGTTCACCAAAAATTGTGTACTATTCATAACAGACGGGGATATACTGAATTATTTGAAATTTTGCAAAGCAAATTGCGTTACTTCAACAGGGAGATTAATACGATATAGGAATAGGAATAGTATTTTATAACATACTTATAAAAAACTGGTTGAAAATTTTACAATTACCTTTCGGTAATAAATTCGAAAAAAAAAAACAATTGTATATATTTTACCGAAATAGGAAATTCGATATAGGAAAGTCTAGTTTCAAATATTTTAATGGTACCATTTTATATTAAAGAAAACAAGTACAATTTGTACTAACTTTGCCAACACTAACTAAACAAATATGGGTGACGGAAAACTGCGCCGACAAATTAACACATCGTCGTTTGCCACTACAAATTTCAGCGGCGGGCTTAAATCGGCTGTATAATTAATTTTTTTTTTTTAATTTTGCATCTATATTTTTATTTTGTTCCTGAATATTTGGAGATTTTTTTCCCAGTACTTCTTTCTGGGTTTTTCTTATACTGTCTACTGCTTTATGCTGAGTGGGATACCCTGGCTTTTTGGTTACGTACATTGCCATTTGCCTGATAATCAAAAAAAAAAAAAAAAAATAAAAAAAAAATAAATTTTGCAACGGTATTCATCAAGGCGAATTCAGATAAGGTGGTGGCAGTTCTGCAACAACAACATTTTACATGTATTTTGTTTTTGCATTTGGTTTACGTAGATGTCAAAAACCATAAGTACGGCGAATTCATTTGATGAAAAATTTTTGTAAAATGTTTATATTTTATTAAAAAATAACGATAAAGATATTAAAATTTGTGAGGAAAATTATATTCTGAATTGAATATCTGATATTGAAAGTCAGCTGCCGCGCGCCGGGTAAATACTTCATATGCGTTTCTTAATATTAAGTGTTCCGGAAGAGATTTTTTTTAGTTAATCACGTTATCTACACAATTTTAATATAAAATATAAAACAATATTGTGTAATATGTTAACATTTAATAGAAAAAAATATTTTTCTTCAATAACATATTTGTATACATACCAATTATGCCATTATTTAAATAAAATGATATTTGTTTACGAGATGCTTGGTATTTTCAGATTTTTTACATAAATAATACAAAATATTAACGAAGGTTTTCTCCGTTTAACGGACATTTTTAAATGTAAACTATAACAAACGCTACGTAAACCAGGCGAATTAAGAAAAAGCTGATTGAATAACACCATATGAATTCGCCTTGGGTATTCATAAAACATTAAAATTTATGAAAAATGTTGAAAATCTATGGTTCTATATTTGGCTATGTCGAATCTTAAATACCCTTCACCTATAAACTAGTTTTTTTTTATTAACAAATCGAAATTAAATCTAGCAAAAATGTAGCATAATACAGTATATAATATATATATATATATATATATATATATATATATATATATATATATATATATATATATATATATATATATATATATATATATATATATATATATATATATATATATATATATATATATATATATATATATATATATAGGCAACTTTTGGTAATAGCAAAAATTATCCAAAGGAGTTTAGATAACATTGTTTCCAAAAAAATATTTCTTTTTAAATTAAAAAAATGTTTAATTTTTTCAAAATGTTTTTTTTTTTTGCTGAGAAGAAAGCTTGTACAATTTCCTTTAAGGGATGCGAGTGCGTTGTCTGTTAAACAAATTATTTTTTAACTCAAGAATAGGATATCTATAAAAAAGAATGGGATATCTATAAAAAAATATATAAAAATATATTAACTAACTAACCGTTAAATGAAATTGTTATTTATGTGTTTATCTCCATAGATTTTTATTTAACTTAATTCCCTTTAATGCACTAATATTTTTATAATTGTGGCTTAAATAAAACGTTGCTTTTAAAATTTTACTATTATGCAGTTTGAGAGCAATTGCTTTGAAACTCCTTATTAGATTGGCAACTCTTATAAACAGCTGTTTTGCTTTTCTCTTTTCATGCAACCTGTTTATTGTTAATCCCTTTTGTGCTTTTAGTTTTTAATAACAAACGGCTCCAAAAATATGTTTGTGAAAGAAATTATATCTAAATCGTGGCGTTTTTTATAAAAAAATATAAAATTTATAGGAAAAATTAAAAAAAGTATAATAATCCTATATTAAAAGTGTTGTGTTAATAGTGAAAAGTGTTGTGAACAGAGTATTTTAAAGGTGCTTTATAAAATTCCCAAAATAAATCTTGGTTGTCTATAAGTATTTTTTAGTGTGTCCATCCAAAAAAAAAAGCTCTAAAAATGTCTAATCGCAATATGTTATTACGCCAAGAAAGTGAAGATTCTGCTAGTATAATTTCTCATTCACCCTCGATGTCGTCACTAAACCGTCTACGCGATACATTTCGTCGTACAGAATCCTTATCATCTCAATTGAGTTCTATTGTTTCTAATGCAGCCTCAGCTGCGTCAGGTGCAGTTTTAGGCACCAGTGCAACTAGCGCCACTTCTGAGGCCTCATCAGCTTCTACGTCTCAAGTAACGACACCTATAAAAAAGAAAAAGCCCGGTGAGTACTTTCCAATTAGAATTTTTTGTTAATTCCACAAATAATTAAAGTAGCATCAAGTGAATAGTTTATGCGTATTGTATTGTATATTTTCAAAACCAAACATTCCAGCGTTGGGAATATTGAATTTTTAAATTTTAATAATAAAATTTTAATAAAACAAAATTAAGGACGGAGAGTTTAAAATATTTTGGATTCGGATTATAATTTAGACATATAATCTTTATAAGATAATAATAAATAAATAAATAAATAAATAAATAAAATTTACAAAAATGTTTTAGGTTTCTTTTAAATAAGTTTAGATATGCTGACAGTATGTTCTGTACTAATATTAATTATTATAAAAATTATAATCATATGATCTCGAAAAAATGCCAGAATCTCGAGTTGGTCAGGCTATGAACTCCAAAGTAATAGTCTCAACGATTCTCAGGTTCCTATTAAGTAGTTCATCTATGGCACAGAAAAGTAACGAAATTTCTAACAATTGATATAAGAAAACTATGATCAAATGTTACACTTACTCGGGGAGATATTATAAAAAAAGTAAATAAAATAATACGAGTGATGTATGGAGCAAGTCTGAGGCCTGAAGCAGAAGTTCTTGAAGCAATACTCATTAGTTTGTTGTATAGCCTATTTTCTGTAATTTATTGCCTGACACTCTGTGATCTGCTCAATCGTCTCTACATTCTCAAAATCTTCTCATAACCTGTGGAAGTTAGATATAATATTTTTCCATTTACTAATAAAAGCTCCAGTTAAACAATGCGACGGTACAAGACTATATATGGTCCGTCCAACTTAATTGCCTTTGCATCAATTCTGGACCATAAGTTCATAGATACTTTGCAATCCATAAGAATTAAGATTTTGAATTAATAATCAGAGAATGATTTTAAAAATTCAAAAATTCTTTCATTTAAAGCTCCGAATGTGACTTAATTTTTGTATTCACATAAATTGGAGAAACAATTAGAATTTTAAGATATCTAACTTTCATTTTTATTGGCCTACAAATAATTTTTTAAAAATAAGTTTCAGTATAGAGTTTGGTTATTCATGATATTTGTAATTAACTCTAAATTGGTTAAGTTTGCTTAAATTAAAGGAAATTGTCTTTAATCAAATAAATTATTGAATAATAGTTCAGCTGTTTTTAAGAAATCCCACTACTAAATTTCATTCTGATTGGTTCATAAAAATCGAAGAAAATATTTATATTACATTAAAAAAATCCTTTTTTTTATTGTAAAATTAAAATGATAAACCAAGAATTTTCTATAAATCTTCCAACGAACATAAAAATTAAACCCTTAACAGCTGATGAAAATAAAAAAGATGCAGTATAATTTAAGAACCCCTGACCCAGTGGAATAGCTTATACGCCCACAATGCAAAAATAAACTAAAACATAACATGACAAACAAAAAAAAAAAATCAATAATACCATTCACACCAACCACCACCACTTACAAATTCACCACTTAAAAATGCAAAAAGGAAACAGGGAAATGTGAGCAAAAAACACACCAAAGAACTTATACGTGAAATAAAGTTTTCAGTTGTAGTTACATATTGGTAAAATATACAAGGCAAAATAGAAAAAGAAAATTTAACTCGATTACTAAATAGAAAAAAAGTGAAATTTATTTAAAATTATTATAAAATTTTTATTTTATTTCCGTTTAATAACACAAATAAGTTCAATTTAATTTTGTTAAATAAACCCCTCAAATTATACTACAAAAAATTCAACAAGAAAAAGTAAAAGTAGAAAGAAAAAGGTAATAGCAAGTCGTCATTCGTTCAAGGAGCTAACTTCGATTTTTCACAAATCGAAATCTTAACGTTTGATTGAAAAACGAAGGAATAGCGACGTGATTATGGTAAAACCAAACAAAATCTATTTTTATTGTTCTATTTATAGGATCAGGATATTTGAACAGAAATTAGTACCTTAAAAAAGAATACAAACAAATATTTTGTGATTTTGAATCATTAAACAAGTAAAATCTGTTTTGAAGGCAAAAATAATTTTGTTGTAAGAAATCAACAAAAAAAAAAAATTTGCCACATCTGAAGAAAAAATTACGAATATGCGTGCTTTGGTCGAAGATACAAAAAAACTAAGCGTGAATAATAACAATAACAATAATAACGATATTGCAAATAGCGAGGTGACAACTACAATTGCAAGAAACTCTAGCAAAACAGCAAGTGCAGCAACAAAAAAATTAAATACAAAAATTGCCACTAAAACAAATACGCAGCAGCCAGTAAGTAAAACTAAAGTGGCTGCAGCAACTAAAACAACAGTGGCAACAGTAGCAAAACCTTCAACAGGGCTAAAGACACCAAATACAGAAAAACCAACAGCAGCTGCAGCAGGTGAAGCCGCAGCTAAAACGTCATTTACCAATAAAACGTACAAAATGCAACAGCAGCAACAACAACAGCAACAAACGACAATAACTAGTACCACCAATACCAATACTAAGGCAGGAAAAGCTGCCGCAAATTGTCCTTCACCTCCAACAACCGGAGTCAAATTGCGTACCAAGCAACAGCCACAACCTAAAAATGACAAGAAAGAAAATCACAATAACAATACCACAACAACTGGTCCAACCACAACGTCATCAACAACAATTGCATTGCCCAAAGCAGCACATGCTAATACCACTGAGGAAATTGCCGGTGGTGTACAGGATACAATTTATTTGTGCAATTTTCGCGTCTCGGTCGATGGTGAATGGTTGTGCTTGAAAGAATTGCAGGATATCGATAGTAATCCCGCTATCTCGAACTCTGATGGACGCTTAGCTGGCAGTGGTAGTGGTGGTGGCGGTGGTGTTGGAGGTCAACGACCCTATTCGATGTATTCGCAAAAGCACAAACGCTATTCGGCCGGTGATCGTAGCTCGTATGGCGGTGGCGGCGGTTTCGAGGATAATGGTATATTTGCATTACACAATTTTATAGCTGGTCGTCGTTTGTATGATGAACAGGGTCACGCTTTTCATACAAATATGCTTACTGCACCCCATGCACGAGAAAGTGGCTTTATTGGTGTTTTTGGTGGTGGTGGCGGGGGTGCTAGTCAAAGTTCGAATGAATGGTCAAATCTTTGTAGGTTGCTTTTTATGCTATTTATGTATAAACGTTATAATTATGATTTTTACTTTTTTCAAATCTTGTACTACTATTTATTTTTTTACTTTTACTTTTGGTTAATTTTAAATTTGCATTTACAAACAGAAATATTGGAATATTGACATGAATTCATATAACAATCCTTTGGGTTATTGTTAGGAAAATTCTTCAATTTTAAACCAATTCAACAGTAACATTCTGAAATTTGCAAAATTTAATACTGTTGTAATGATTTGACGATTTTTTAACAACCAAATATGCAATTTAATAAATTCTTAATTGGTTTGGCTTATCCTTTGTAGAATTTTAGAAATTGCTAGTGGATATTCGTGCCACTAATATAAAACTTTAATTTAAGTTTATAGTCGAATGATGGATTTAATCTGAACTTTCAGGAAAGCATTCCACTCTTAACAATTTATTATTTTCGATTCGTGAGCTCAAGCGATCATATGAATTCGTACACTAAACCGTTTTAAATATGGAATTAGATTAATAGTTCCATTATGAATTTTATTAAAATATTAGAAAAATAAATAGAAATAAATAAACCTGTAAATTATAAAATAACACAACTTTCGCTAACGTTCGTAATACAGATTATTTCGTGGAATACATTGTTTCCCAACTTGATTTACTCTATTAAAAAGAAATAAGACATAAAATGTTATATTAATATTAAATTTTCTTACATTTTAACATTACAACTATACATTACTCTTGCCACTATCCTTCGTTTTTCCCTTGTCTATAGATTTTTTATTTCTCACTGGACTACTTGAAGCTGAGGTATCTGAATTTAGCAAAGGTTTCTTTTCAATTTTTACAGATCTTTTATTTTTCTTGTTACCAGGTTCAGTTGATGAATAATCTGAAAGGGATTTTTTTCTTATATGAAAGAAACGTACTGGTGAATTTAAAAGTATAGAGGATGATGAAGACGAATCTGAAATTAATTAATATAATTTAACTATTATATGTTATACATTTTAAATTTGTTTAAGATTTACTCTTTTTGGTCTTAAGTTGTGGCTGCGATTTCTTTTTCTTGCAAAAACTTTTACAACAACAAATTATTACCACCAAAATAATGGCAATGACTGGTATGGCTATAACGACCATTTGTGGTGGTGCTAAGTCTATGGTACGCAGTAAAGATTTAGTATTTGTGAAATTTGTTTGAGCGGGATTATCTAGTTTATTATCTTCTACTTCAGAAGAAATAGCATTTGATTGGGTTTCAAGGGCGTTTTTTGTTATCTCAAGATTAATTTGAAGTGGTATCTTAGCATCGTGATGTATAGTTTGATTTCTTTCTCTTTGCTCTGCATTTGTTTGATCGGTGATATCTAAACGTAAAAATATTTAAAGATTTGTTATTAAATTTTCTTAAAATAATAGTTATTTTAAGTTTACTTTAAAAGAGTCTAGTATAGTCAAGTCTATAGTCTAGTCTATAGTCTAGTCTATAGTCTAGTCTATAGTCTAGTCTATGGTCTAGTCTATAGTCTAGTCTATAGTCTAGTCTATAGTCTAGTCTATAGTCTAGTCTATAGTCTAGTCTATAGTCTAGTCTATAGTCTAGTCTATAGTCTAGTCTATAGTCTAGTCTATAGTCTAGTCTATAGTCTAGTCTATAGTCTAGTCTATAGTCTAGTCTATAGTCTAGTCTATAGTCTAGTCTATAGTCTAGTCTATAGTCTAGTCTATAGTCTAGTCTATAGTCTAGTCTATAGTCTAGTCTATAGTCTAGTCTATAGTCTAGTCTATAGTCTAGTCTATAGTCTAGTCTATAGTCTAGTCTATAGTCTAGTCTATAGTCTAGTCTATAGTCTAGTCTATAGTCTAGTCTATAGTCTAGTCTATAGTCTAGTCTAGTCTAGTCTATAGTCTAGTCTAAACCTAAAAAAGTACTATTTTTGTTAGTACTATGTATTTCAAAATTTCAATTTTCCTTTTAGAGCATCTAAGTTTGCTTTGAGAGTTATGCACCATTTTCGATGCCAATATGATGAAATTGCCAATAAAATTAATCTAAACTTAATCCTACAAATCTTTTTAGTTCCAACACAAAATACAATTCAAACTTACTTTTTCCATTATTAATTCTCTGTTTAGTTTTCTTAATATTATGAGTCTTTCTACTTCCAATTTGTGGGCTTTGCTGCTTCACAAAACTTTCATCTTTACTTTGCAACTCAACTAAATTATCGCCAAACAAGTTGGTATCCTTTTTAGCTTTTTTAAGATATTCATAAATTCGTAAGACAGCTCCTAAACCTGGATAAAATTGCTCATCCGATAAATGTATGTTTATATTTTCCATTAGCCATATTTTAAATTGCTGGTTATAATATTGCTGATCGATATTATCAAATCGATAACATTTGGTAACAGTTTCATAAAATTTAACCAAAACATAAGCAGAACTTTGTGATTTTAAATCAAATGTTCTTTTACGTCTAAACGGTAACCATATATTAGCCAAATAACCATCTTCATCTTCCAATTTTGGCAGTTGAACAATCATTTGTTCATCATTGGGTTGATTCTCATCTGTGGCTATATCTAGAAGCATACAAAATGAAGGCTCATTACAGTTATCCTCATGTTGTTCAGCAATATGCAATGGTTCTATATGTACGGATTTTAATTCCATAAGAACATTTTGTAAAGGAGCTTTCCAACCATTGCCATTGGTATTTAGAAATTGTTTAGATTCTTGATGTAAAGTTAAAATTTGCTGGGCAGTATTTAGGCTTATTTGACCAGCATAATAAGAATATTTTGTTACCGGTACCATATAGAAATTTAAATAGCCACCTAAAGTATCATAAAAAGCTTTTTGTACTAAATGCTTTGAGTCTAATGAGGTAGTTTTCAATATCATTTGATGACAGATATAAAAGTAATTTAGTACCAGAGCCACCATGTGATCATTTAGCAAACATTCTGGCAAATCTTTGGGTATAAGACTCTGAAATATTGTTAATTTATAGAAAACAATAACTTTATGTATATATGTATATAACTTACCTCGAAATCTTTACGAATGGCCAATAAAGCCACCTCTTCGCTAGTGAAACATCTTTTGGCAGTACTATCAAAAAGATTTGTACCCACAAAACTTTCAATATTCATATATTTACCGGAACAATGATTTATTATAGGACGATCTTGTTTTTCTTTATTTGCAATTTTCGCTTTATTATAACTTCCATTCTCTTTATTTATCGAGTCAAAACCAAGTTGTTCATTAGGATTATTAAATTTATCTTGATCTTTAGATTGTTTATAAGAATTATGTTCTAAATGATTTAAATCATGATAACTATTATTATCCTCATCGTGATAATCTAAAAGTTTATGATTTTTATTGAACTCGCTACGATCTTGATCATCGTGTTCATTATTTTTATTAGCTTCCTGACTTTTTAGCACATCAGCGTTAAATTTGGAATAAAATTGATTTTCATTGTAATCGTAATGATGATTATTTGTCTCATCATTTTTAGACTTGAATTTTTCATTATTTTTGGCTTCAAATTTCTTGGCAGAATTTTTCGTTTGATCAAGATTGTCCATTGAATTTGAGTTTTCTTTATATTTTTTATTGAGATTTAAATTATTTTGATCATCAAATTTATTTTCATTATTAATCGCACTAGCTTTATTACTGCTTCCATCAAGGCTTTTAGTATTAAATTGTGTATTAAAAGAATTAGGATAATAGTAATCTATATTATTTGTTTTGCCCGAAATCTTTAAAAGATCTTGTTGTCGCTCATTATTTAAAGCTGTTTGCACTTTAAAATCATTCGCAAAATCTGAATCACGTTCTATGGTTTTCACCTGCCAATCGTAAACTGAACTATCACTTGCACACAACTGGACCATTACTATTAAAATGTTAAATATTATTTTCATTATAATTACGTTGTATTATATATTTAGTTTTCTATATTTTGTATTTAATATAAATTTTTTATTTCTTTAATATAAACGTATAAATATAAAATTGTAAATTTGTTATTTTTCATTTGACTTAATTTGTATTTGATTTGCAAAGAATATCAGAGAATGGATGAGAACAAATTAAAACAAAAAGTATTGCCAGTTTTTAATTTAAAACAGCAATGAAGCCCTTGTTTCTAAGTTTCATATTTCATATAATAAATTAATTTTTTTAGCCCGTGATCCTGCTGAAATAGAACGTAGTAATTTGGTAAATATTTGTAAATTGGTGGTAAAAGAATTACTCGAACAATCGGTGCGCTATGGACGTATGTTGGACTCTGATCATTTGCCCTTGCAACATTTCTTTATTGTTATTGAACATGTTTTGGGCCATGGTTTGCGTACGAAAAAGGTACTTTTTGTGAAATAAAAAATATATATGTACATATTTACCTTAAGTGTTTAAACACTTTTGTTTTAGGGCCTCTTGGGTCCTCGCAAAGAACTCTGGGATCTTTTACAATGCGTTGAGACCTATTGTCCCGAGGCTCAGGATATAACTGCCAGTGTACGAGATTTACCAACAGTACGCACTCATATAGGTCGCGCACGTGCCTGGTTGCGTATTGCTTTAATGCAGAAAAAACTCTCGGATTATTTACAAGCTCTAATAGAACATCGCGAAGATGCTTTATATGAATATTACGAACCACACGCTTTAATGATGAGCGATGAGGTACATAGTTGCTTTAAATTAAACGATCATCTTACTCTCAATTACGTTTTAAATGCTTTTCAGATTGTCATCATAATGGGCATTTTAGTGGGTCTTAATGTTATCGATTGTAATTTATGTGTTAAAGAGGAAGATCTTGATTCTCAACAGGGTGTTATAGATTTTTCTTTATATTTACGTTCTAGTTCTCGTAACAATGACAATGATAATGACGAAGAATGTAATCAGACAAGTGATGCTAATGGACAAGGCAATATGATTGCTGTTTTGGACCAAAAAAATTACATTGAAGAATTAAATAGACATTTGAAGTGAGTGTTAAAATATTTTAAAGGAAATATGAAATGGTTTAATGAGATTACAATGAGAGATTTGTTAGAGATCATTTAAATTTTTTTTATGAATCTGATCTTAAATCTATTAAAAAGATAATCGAAAGAATGAAAAAAAGATAACATCCTATTTTGGAAGTGAGCTAAAGTCGACGGCTTAAGTATGCAGTGCTGCGAATAATTTGATCAATGATTGTGGAAAATGGAAACCATTAAACCACAAAACACTTGTGTATCATCGATATCGAATGAATGAATCCATTCTCGTATTTTTTGATATCCTAGAAAGAGTTGGTTATATATAATTAACATTACGTTGGATACGTGGACATAACGTTAACATTTGTTATGAACGGGCAGATTATCTGCAATTAGGGACTATAACCAGTCCCTTGAGTAGGCTAGTTTATGTTAGGTTCAGAAGGGTTATATATCATAAACAGGTACAACTCCATTTGGAGATCATAAGTTTCATTGTAGTTCTCTTGGTAGACCCAAAGATATACAAACAAAACATTAGAAAAACAATAAGAACATAAAAAAGGCATTTCAGGCATTTCAACTTGAGATTCTTTATTGTAAGACAGTTCGCATAAACTGCAATAGTTACTTTATGACAAAAGTCCTAATTGAGTAATGTCCCGTTAAGATCCTTCTTAGAATCCTTAGACTACCCTTATCTAATCCTAAAAGTATCCCTTACATCAAGTGTTGGCCATAAGGCCTTTTTGTATTTTGTTATCCATTTTCAATTTATTATTATTATTATTATTAAAAAAATTGCATAAAAAGTCGGGTCAAATTAGGTTAGATATCGTTAAATCAGATTGATAGGAAGTGTATCAAATCCGAAGATGTTTGTTGGTAAAACCAAATACCTTATATAGCGATCAATGAAGGTATTAATGTCCGATGTTCAGAAATTCATTTTCCTGGACGTAATTTCCCAATCAAAGTTCATGAGGATTGTTATATCTGGAATAATATCACTCCTAAGATTCGTGGATCAAATTTCGATGAAAGCCTCACAATGAAAATGAAACTGATCCAGAGTTTTACTGTCCTCTTTACATGCTCTAAACTCGTCTGAATATGCACTTCCAATTTTTTATAGTTGCGTCCATTCGTGTCCATTCAAAATTCGTACCATCACACTAACCTCATACTTGCTCTTATAGGGGTCACCTATTTCCTTAATTTCCCCAAAAGTCATTTTATTGAAGTATTTTTTATATCGTAAATGCAGTCCACTTTACGTTGTTGCTCAAGCGAATAAAGTGATAAAAACTTTTATTTCAACTTACATATACTTCCACATGACGTATATTTGATGACCTAATTTGAAATGGTTCTCTTAGTTAGACCTGTCCGAATTGGTAGTGGTCAGGTATATTTCCACCGAGTTCATAAATAATCATTTGAAACATTGTACTATTAAAAAGGGGAGTTGTTAGAGCGAGTTCCTGTCAGCATTTTGAATGGATCATAAAGCATTCGTCGCTAAGGTTTAACATATTAAATTAAGAATTATTCACAATTTGATTCTACTATTCTATTTTAATGTTATTCACATGAAGAGAATTTCTATAATCAATCCTACTAAATGAATCTCCTTAAAAATTGTAATCTCTTAAACCATTTTGAATAATTTCAACAATACACTAACATTTTATTATATAAAAAAATTATTCAGTGCAACCGTAGCAAATTTACAAGCCAAAGTTGAATCGTTAACTACCACAAATGCTCTTATGAAAGAAGATTTAGCTATTGCCCGCAATAGTTTATTAGCTTTACAAGCGGAAAATCAAGCAATGAGGCAAAATTCTCAAATAAGTATGTATTTTATTTAACTTCGAAATAATTAAAATAAGTAACCTAAAATAAATCATCATAAATTAGATGCTGGCCCACCTTCAATTAACTCAAACCAAAGTGACAATAGTTCAAATTCCAAGGAAAATGACAAAGCTGTAGTGGAATCCCTAAAAGCTGAGCTAGAAAAGGAAAAAAAGAAATCTTCGGAATTAGATAAAGAATTAAAATTACAAATCTCTCTTAAAGCAGAATCAGATATGGCTATGAAACTATTAGAGAAGGATATACATGAAAAGCAGGATACTATTGTATCCTTGAGATTACAATTGGATGAAATAAAACAAATCAATTTGGAAATGTATCGTAAATTACAGGTTGGTAAGCATGCGAAACTCGTATGCTAGAAATAAATTCAAATAAGGGAATCATCCATCATTCATTGTACCGCATCTAAAGCTAAAGCTTAAATCATCATTTCATCAAACAACTTCAATTAAAAACATGCATTATTTACTTTCAGTTAATTGAGCTTTAATCATTTAAAAATATTAAGATGATTATTATTATTTTATTATAAAGCTAAGCTTATTAGATTTTTAGTGCTATACTTTTTATGCTGTTTAATATTTAATAATCTTTACATTGTAAACCCATAATTCATTTATATTATTATTGTATTTGTTACCTTATAATTACCCTCCTTAATCAAACATTAGGAATGCGAAGCCGAACTTACACAAAAGGGCGAAATGGTGGCACGCCTACAAACAAAAGCCTCGCAAATTGGCAATATTTTACAATCGTTAGAAAAGAAATACGAACAGCAGCAGATACAATCAACCTCCGGCTCATCGTCAGCGGCCGATAGATCTCCCAGCACTAGACGACAACAAAATCTTCAAAAATTCGAAGCTTTAACCAAAAAACATAAACAGGATATTGGTCCGCCTATGAAACGTTTACATTTGAAAATGGATGGTATACCGCCCTTCAATCCCAACAATTATCGTAAATCACCTTCAACAACGGAAAAATACCATGAATCTATAGCCGAAGTAAAGACACCTTTATCGGCTAAATCGCTAAAACTTTCCGATGAAGAGGATAATACTGGCAACACTAATATGCCGCCTGCTTCGCTACCCAATAATGCTGTGACCAAAACTGATTATCTTTTTAAAGAGGAAAAGGCAGCTAATTAAGTCAAACAGAATTATATTTTTTTGGTTTTTGTTTGATATTTTAAACGCATTTATTGAAATTTGCTGAGTATTATTTTTTTTAATTGTTTGCAAAAATTAAATATTTTGTAAATTTAGGCGATACAATTAGGGTCAGTTGGAGATTTTTTAAGAGTTATGCGTTAAATGTTCAAAAATATGTAGTAAAAACGTAACATTTTGTAAGGTTATTACTTATATTTTGAGAGTGTTGTTTCGGTATAATTTAAATGATTTGCAAGAAATTACATTAGCAACTAAAGTTGTCTGTCACTGATTTTTGGTACATTTACCGAGAATCTAATAATCTTCAAGTTCTTATTGAGATAAATCCATTTAGATCGGATATGTTACGATTTATAACTATCACTAGAAGGAGAGTAATTGGGAAAATTTACACGCGGAGTATATGTAGTTAAATAGTATACTTGTGATAACATATATTTACAAGCCAATCCAGAAGTATTATACGATCTTGGAAGTCAATTTAAAAGATCGTAATCCTATAGATTTTACCAACGCGTTGTCGCCTTAGAAGGTTCCCCTTATTTGAGGATAACTTTAACGTATTTGACATTGTCATTTTGACTAAAAATACAAAAGCGTTTAACGCCTCGTTCCTCGCCATCTACTCCTTCGTTCGACCGGTGTTATTAATATCTCGTGGTTTGGCCTGGGCAACTCCTCCATGGCTAACTGGCTATCATGCTGAGGATAATCTTTTCTAAAAGTAGGAGAAGCTTTATCTGCGGTCTGACTGTTAACATCTCCATCTACTGAGTGACACTGGTTTCACCAAAGAAGTCACTCGATAGTTCCAGAAATCCATCCCCCTTTAAGTCAGTCCTTCATTTGCAACAATTTTGGCATGCAGGATCGTGTCTTCGTCCCAAGTACTGTCCAATTTCATCTTCTCTCATCGACTGTGACGTCCGCAAAGTCCCTATTTGAATACAGGTCGACCAAGCCACAAGTCCTGTCCCTTCCAAAATAACAGTACAAATGAATTAATGTTATTGATAACGACAACTCATTACCAAGTAAAGTATGATTTTACTACATTACTTACTTTGATCTTAAAAGTGGATCTATAACGTAAATCCCAAACGGTAAGGCCCTTAGTAAACAAGAGTGAACCCAGGATTGGTATTATTACTTTATTTTTTTGGAAATAACGAATATTCTGAATATTTAATTCATAATGAAATGTAAATGATCTAAGCACCATTTAGAACATATAAAATATTTCTAAATATAAAGTTTCAACTGCAGCTAACTTAACGCCTAATAAAAAATACGTTAAGAATGAATAAAAACTTTAACTTTATTAAACTAGATAACAAACCTACAAATGGATCGATTTATTTTGATTACAATTTAGGCTTTATCTTTATTTTTTCTACAATCTTTGATATATTGATTTAAAAAATTAACATAAAACTTATAATTAAAATACTTAAGAATGTAACGCCTTTATTAATAAAAGAAATAAAATATTAAAAGAGATATTACGAGATATTATAATTAGTTAAATGTATGAAACGTAAAAAAAACTACTACAAAAATGATATATGAACAACTTGTAGGTCCTATATAATCTGGTATAAATAAAGTAAATAAAATACATTAAACAAAATCTATATATACAATACATACAATACATATATAATAAAAAGCCTATTTAAAATTCCAAAAAGTAAAATGTTGAAATTTCAATATATAGTATATGAATGTATTGAATGAAAATGTTTACGATTTAAAATAAATTTAGAGACATTGTAGTTTTGAAATCTTATTTAAACAAAGATACAAGAAACAAATATAAATTTTAATTGAGTTAATTATAATATATGTATTAATTTAGGTTGTTTTAATTTTTTTAATTATAAAAATCATCTAAAGCTTTAAAATTGTAACATGCTTCAACTATATAAAATTATACATTAATTACTACTAAATCCCCTATATACACATGTGTATTCTTAGATATTTCTTTCTTTATTTATTTTAAACAGCATATTATATAATTTATTGATAAAAAAGACATAATTTAAAAATAAAACTCTATATATTAATAAAATATAACAAGATGTTTAATTTTTTTACTAATTTTATTTAACAGGAATGTGAGGCTTCTTTAAAACATAAAACTGAATTGTTGTTGAAATTAGAATCTCAGAAAGAGGATATGGCTAGTACCATAGCTCATTTAGAGAAAAAGTAAGTGAAATTTTTTCGAATATATGAGGATATATTAAGGTTTTGAAGTGAAATTATTTTAAAGTTGAAAAGAATTTGGATATTTATGCGAATAGGTTAACCTATCTAATTAGATTGATTTAAACAGTTGGGAATTGTATACATGTTATACTTCTTTTGAATGTCGTAGTGTTTGGTACAGTTATTTGTATAAGTTGTTACAGTTCTTACTAGAGCAGATTTTTAATAATGCTATATCAAATACATTTAAATAATGGGCTTAACGAACATTTCAATTCAAATCGAAATCAGTTTGGCGTCGTATTTCGGTATGACGATCCTTCACTAAAATGAAAATTACGTTCACAATGTAGAATCGTAGAGTATTAAAATGAATAGGAATTGCTTTTCCTTTTTCTTACGAATCCGATTTTTTTTGTTGCAATTCATTTTTTCGATCGTAGTGTAACTCAATGAGAAAATGCAGAATAGGAGTGCATAATGCCGATATGAACCCCTGATTCAAGTTATGGGGATTTGACCAATTATGGATCTAACTCTGCATAATTTTCTTAAAAAATTATATAGCATTTTATAATTTGCTTTATATTTATGTCCAATTATATCGTAGAACTAATAATTATAAATTAAATATGTATAAACGATATAGTATGGTCTGATTTTCTCCATATTTACATGGTGTAAATCGTATTTTCCTAAAAAATATTTTAATGGTTGATTGCTAAATTCATGCACCCATTTTCTCCATATTCAATAGGTGTTGTTGTCAAAGGAATCTAGATTCATAGCTATATATATAGGGGATTTTTTTGAAATCTTTTGAAATCGACATCCGGTTTCAAAAAACAAAACTCTTGACTTGTGCTTCAAAACATTTATTTTGATACATATTCCGCTTGCATCACACTAAGCGAACAACATGTTCTTAAAGATAAAGATCTAAGCTTTCTTTTGAGCCAAAAACAAAATAAAAATGGCCCAACTTGGAAAAATATTCAAAAAGTGTTTTGCAAAAAAATTTCGAACTTTGTTCCACAGTAAACGACCGATCTTGTTAAAAAACTGTTAATTTTACCCCCACTTTATTTATTTATTTATTTTATTTATTCATTCATTCAAGTAATACAAAGCCTTTAAGGCCAATCTAACATATTACTTAGTAATTATCACCTAAGCATAAATAATTAAAATAAAATAAAATTATATATATGTACATATATATATATATATATATATATATATATATATATATATATATATATATATACAATACAAAATAAATAAATTTTAATCACATTCTATCAAAATTTTAATGGTTCCCCAACCGTAATGTCAAAAAGCAACAAGAAGAAGTATATAAAAGCAGTAATTTTAAGAAAAAGAATAATGGCCCAAATTAATAGCGACAAAAACCTTCTTTCTTTAAAGTATACCAATCCATAAAAATTTTGAAATCAAATTACAGGTCTCGATTTTCAAGATAATTTGATGAAATTTGGTGAGATCCATTATATCACCTAGACCCCATAAAACAATACCATCCGAATAGGACTTTGGAATTTATATTAATGTTAAATAATCTAGTATCTCTATAAAAATCGGCGCAACTTAGACCCCATCCCACATACAAAGTTCTCCTCAGAAGTTGACATGAACGTCCTTAATTGCCTCATAAATACTAGTACATATGACAATGAAAAATAAATAAACATATATCCCTCCACCAAATTGTATTATTATTATTCGAGCATATTTGAACCTAACTCCGATATAAAGTATTTTTCAGAAAATCAGCTTTTCTTGATTATTAAGTATACAAAACTTTAAAGCATTTGTCTTCTTTAACGTTCATGAAAAAGTGATATACTTTTTCAACGTACTCTTTTATACTCTATGTAGAATGGATAGGGCCGATTTGAAATTTTCAAAAATTTTAAAAAGTCCAGGTCTCAACTAATTGGACATAAATGCTTTATTAAAAATAAATCACATATGCTATTCTTTAACAACGGTATTATATAGGCGACCATGACCGAATATACTTTCTAAATTGTTTCCTACATGTCTAACAAACGGCTTTAAAGTTTTTCCTCGTATTGATTCCCTACGCCACATTAGTGGGGAGAATGTTATGTATGTAACACACTAATAGGCTTAGAATAATTTTCTGAACCGATTTAGATATGTCCATCCGTTGTGTAATCAAACTACAGGTCGCAATTTTGAAGATAATGTAATAAAATATGGTACATGATTTAATATTTTACAAAATTTAAAACAAATTTAAAGAAAAGCATAACTACCCTGTGCGATAAAACAGTCACGAATATAAGCATGATATATCCCAGGTTCTTATTCAACTCAATAATTTCTCAAAAACCTTAATTGTTCCGCCAAGATTTTAAAATTATTTTACACTAAATTGCAACATTTTCTTCACCTAGATGGAGCAACGATAAAGTTAATTTAGGAGAAATATTAAAAACTACCTCGAATACATTGTCCAATCAAGTTAGTGCTTCCGAAGAACGTGCAACACGAGCTGAAATTGAAGTACATAAAGAACGTGAATTACGCTTGCAATTGCAGGAAAATGAGCTAAAACTCAAGGAGAAAATCATTAGTTTAGAAAATAAAACTAAAGAATTCAACGACGAAGTACAAAAAAATCAGAAACTCAAAATAGATTTAGAAAAAATTCGCCATCAATGGTCAGAGGCTCAAACTACGCTCGAAGAGTTGGGCATACAATTGAGTGAAAACAAACTTAAAGTAGCGGAACTGCAAGAAAAAGACAAACGACAACAAGAGTTACTAAACAATTCATTAACATCTTCTCAGTCCTATTTAAATGAAATACAACCTATTGCTGGAGCAGCTGGCATATGGGCGCCTGATTCCATAGCCACACATTGTACAGCCTGTAAGAAAGAATTTAATTTAACACGTCGCAAACATCACTGCCGCAGTTGTGGAGAAATATTTTGCCGCACCTGTTCCGATCACACTCTACCATTGCTCAATGAAAACGGACAATTGGGTAAACCAGTGAGAGTTTGTTTATCCTGTTTTGCGTCCCACAAATGATTGTTATTGTATAAAGATTGTTATCAGTAAAATTTATTGTAATTTATTTGTTTCTATAACCCCCGATATATTTTAAAATTTTTGAGAAATTTTCTAATGCTTTTATTTGTTGTATATTACATACTTATACATACTATATTTATATTATTCAAAATAATACTAACTATTTACAAATATTTCATAGAATTACACAAATTTGTTATAAAGTATTTTTACATGCCTAAAATATTGATGTATACAAACAGAAATTTAAATACAAATGTATTTTAATAAATTTACATATACACAATTACTTTTTTGTGAATTTTTTTTAAATTTTTAATTTTTGTGAAACAAAACACAAAATTTTAACATTTGTAATTATTTTGAACATAACTGTAGTTTTGTATTTCATGTCAAATGTGTAATATTGATATTTGATTTGTTTCATTTAAAATTTTTCAATCATATTTACATATATGTATATATTTTATAGATTTTAATCAATTTTATATACATTTTCCAGTTAATTTTTATATTTTAGCTACGATTTTAAAATTATCATTATTTGCGATCCCGCTAAAATTGATGACATCTATAACACTCAGATTTTTGCAAAATTTTCATCGGTTACCTTCAAAACGTTTGTTGCAAAATTCATTTTTACTGCTTTCAACTGAGAATGTAAGTTACAAAATTTAGATAAATTAGCCCCAATTTCGCTCGAAAACCCCGGAGATAAATATGTACGTATTATCACCTAGATAGATAGATAGATATATAGATAGATAGATAGATAGATAGATAGATAGATAGATAGATAGATAGATAGATAGATAGATAGATAGATAGATAGATAGATAGATAGATAGATAGATAGATAGATAGATAGATAGATAGATAGATAGATAGATAGATAGATAGATAGATAGATAGATAGATAGATAGATAGATAGATAGATAGATAGATAGATAGATAGATAGATAGATAGATAGATAGATAGATAGATAGATAGATAGATAGATAGATAGATAGATAGATAGATAGATAGATAGATAGATAGATAGATAGATAGATAGATAGATAGATAGATAGATAGATAGATAGATAGATAGATAGATAGATAGAAAAGTCGAAAATTTTCTATAAAAAGATTTGAGTCAAATATTTTTTTATAAAAGTAGATATTTAGATAAATGTTTAATTCGCATTTTTTATAAAATTCTGTATTTTTTAGAATTAATTCACATACTTAGGGTTAAGTAAGATATATACAACTTGGCAGCACTTTTTATGCTATTGTGAATTGTTTTTTCAGAAAAACCTAACAGCTGTCGCAACATACAGTGTTGACTACTGTAAAGCCTACGTGACTGTTAATAAATATTACCAACAAATTTAAAAAAATATTAAATACTAACTACTTTTTATATTAAATGCATAAATATTTATTTAATTATAATTTATTTTTATTATTTATAAATTTAATTTAACAATTTTATTGATATAACTTATAAAATATGACAAATACCGGCAAAACGCCAATTCTTATCTCTAACATTAAATTGTTTTTAGTAGTGAGTTAACAGTAAACTGTTAAGTTAAAAAATGTTTTGTACTTCTTAACTAACTACAAGGTCATACTAAGGTTATTCATTAAACGATTTTCATCGGAGAAGGTACTAAAAAGAAATTTGGTTGTGAAAAAGAAAGTGAAAAAGGATTTTCTTTTAATAAAAACAAGTTTGAAAAGTTTTTATAATAATTTAATAGTAAATTGTTTAGATATTTTAATATATTAACTATTTCTTTTATAGAATTGCAAGTGTAAGAAAACAAACAAAATGACTCGCAAATTCTGTGTTGGTGGTAACTGGAAGATGAACGGTGATAAGCAATCCATTGCTGAAATCGCCAAGACCTTGACCGGTGCCACTTTGGATGATAACACCGAAATCGTTTTGGGCTGCCCCTTCATCTATTTGTCCTATGCCCGTGAATTGTTCCCTGCCAAGTTCAACATTTCTGCCCAGAACTGTTACAAGGTTCCCAAGGGTGCCTTCACCGGTGAAGTTTCACCCGCTATGTTGAAGGATGTTGGTGCCAACTGGGTTATCTTGGGCCACTCTGAACGCCGTCATGTCTTCGGTGAACCCGATGAATTGATTGCCGAGAAGGCTGCCCATGCTTTGGCTGAAGGTCTTAAAGTTATTGCCTGCATTGGCGAGACCTTGGAAGAACGTGAAGCTGGTAAAACTGAACAAGTTGTTGCCAGCCAAATGGCCGCTTATGCCAAGACCGTTAAGGACTGGACCAACGTTGTTGTAGCCTACGAACCCGTCTGGGCTATTGGTACTGGCAAAACCGCCACTCCCCAACAGGTAAGGAATTTGTTAAGAAAAAAAGTTTAAGTAGAAAAATTGTATAGATCTGCAGCAGTTAGTATGTATCTATATTTTATTTTAACTTTTTTTTAAAGTTAGATTTCTTTTCCATCTGATGTAATAGTTCAAATCAATTTTGAAATATTCAAAAGATAATAGTTAATGTCTAAATATTTCATTTATATCTGGAAAATTTATACTAAACATATTTATTCTGTATGTATTTGAAATATAATTTTAATTTCTCTTCCTCTCTTTAATTTTTAGGCCCAAGAAGTTCACGCCTACTTGCGCAAATGGTTGGCTGAAAACATTTCCAAGGAGGTCTCCGATTCTCTACGCATTCAATACGGTGGCTCTGTAACTGCTGCCAACTGCAAAGAATTGGCTTCTCAACCCGATATTGATGGTTTCTTGGTAGGCGGTGCCTCTTTGAAACCCGAATTCGTTGAAATCATCAATGCCAGAAAGTAAATTTAGTTTATAGCGCTAGTGTTCAAACATCTAGAGAAGCAGCATTTTATACTGCCCATACAAAAATTGTTTTCTTAACACAACGTTATGGTTATCAAACAAAATTATCATTATAAAATTTTTGCATTAAACATATACTCAAAAGATATATTGATGTTACAAAGAAATCGTTTTAAATTTATAATGTTAAAATGTGTATTTTAGAAAGCAATTTAGTTTTTTTTTTAAATTATTGCTAAATGTTTGTTATTTATTTTTTTGGGCTTAAACCATAAATTATTGTAATTTTTATTTTAAACCATAAAACAATCCAATATGTACCACCAAAAACCGGGAGAAGAAAAACAAGCAACTATGTTGTTTTTGAAACATTTTATAATTTAATGAAATACTTATAAATAAAATAAAAAACACATCCCTCTTTTTAGTTGTATACAAAAAAAAAATATTTTAATATTTAGTATTATTTAATAGTGTATAAGCAAAGGTCAGTTGTGCTCTTAACTTTTGCCAGTTTATAGTTTCTGATATCGTCTTTATTATGGTGCGGCAAAAGGTGTTGTTGAGTAATTATTTTTATTGAATTTGTGATAAGAAGCTATTTGATATTTATTTTTTTGTGTAATTTTCCTTTCAGAATCTTTCAAAAGATTATTTTCATTGCAATGAACTTTAAAACAATTGGCATGTTTTTAATAATAGGAAAACATTGCAATTATTTTGTTGTTGCTTAAAATACTCGAGTGAACTTTTATGTATGTTGTTAATGAAACATCTGTTCAGATTTCCGCATGCCAAAAAACAAGTAGATACTTTTAACTTTTGTTTTTATTTTTGCTTATTAGCCTTTTCACTTTTTATTGTATTTTTTTGTAGGGTAACATTTAAATTACATGTGCAGCGTTAAAATTAGACAATGTCTATCCATTAGCAATATGATTACCTTCACCATTCCCATACTTTTACATGTTGCCCTATTAGTTCATAATTTAATTGAATAGAGTTCACAGGAAAGAAGAAGAAAATGTACAATTTGGTTTTGATTTTTTTAAAAATGGATATACCTAAAGGCCCAAATAGACTACTGTTTAAGCGAGTTTTGTTGCGAGCTGCATTTTGGTAATTGCTCCTTTTAATGAATAATACTATTTTTAACAACGTTAGAATCTAATGCCAATTTTATACATCTTTGCTGGAAGATTCTAACGAGTAAACCGTTAACGGTACTTAAATATTGTTTGCCACCAAATTAAGTTCGTTCTACACAGTCTTAAGATATTGATGTTGTCTACGACAAGCACTACGTGCACTTTATCTTTTATATAAAAACCTGCAAACCTTCTACGAGGTAATCTTTTGGTTTTTAATAAAAAGGAGATCTACGTCTCACAAAACTTGAAAACTTTATTTTGTTTTTTTTTCATACAAAATCTTGGACAAATTGGATTGATGCCAAACAACTACACAAGCGGCAATGTTTGTGTAGTGTGTGTGCGAATGAAAAAAGTATGTTTGATAAGCCGCTTGTGTAGTCTATTCGGGCCTTAAATCATAATATGTTTTCAATAAATAATGCTACTACTAACTGTTAATTTCAAATTTTGAAGAAAATCTAAAGAAATCACGGTTTGAAAATGTTCCACAAACGAAGGCTTTATGCGATTTGGGATCATTTTTAGGGAGTAAATTGAATGAGAACATTTTTTGGTCCTTTTTTTGTTTTTTTATATGGTACTTTTGGATTTTCTATAATAATGCACATACAAAATAAACATAACATTTAAAGTGTAAGATCCTATAAGAACGTCTCATAGAACGATTATGAATAGGAGTTGGTACTTTTTCCAAACGGACCTTTTTATCTTTAAGTATTTAATTACAGTAGTACAAATTTTAAATAATTTTTGCCTGGGATATTTTTAAATTTACCAAAATCACATTGCTATTAAAATTACTTCAAATATTTTGAATTTATTAAATTGATTTATTTCTATAAATTCCAATATTTTAAAAAATTCTATTCCGAAAAATTTTTGAAAATGTTTAACACAAAAGTTCCTGGCGGTTTAGGATTTATTTTTGACATTGCAATTGTACACATTAATTTAACGAATATAAGCACTGAAGAAATCTCTAAATTAAGAGTCGATGTAAAATTTATTAAAGATAATCTAAAAGTAACATCAAGTCGTATTAATGTAGCGGAATTTAAAGCAGAACGTGGTTTCGAATTTAATGAAAAGCCCTCAGTTTTAAAAGAGCAACTTTTTAAACAGCCTTTAGAATGTGAAGTGTTCTATGAGGGACAGTCTGTGGGTAAGTTTTTGAAAAAATTCCTGTTTTGCCAATAGATACCCCACTATTCATGTAATCTTATACTCTTACTATAGGAACATGTAGTTTTCCATGGCCTGATAGTTTTATAAATTGTATTGCTGGAGATTGTGGTCGAGAATTGACGCATTGTGATGAGGCCGATATTAAGAAAAATAATGAAAAAGTTGGGCAAATGGAAATTCTAGTGCGACTTCAAATAAAGTGTAATGAGTTTGAGTAAGTTATTATATAAAACCTAAAATGGCAATTCAATTAAATTAAAAATATTCCATATTTACATTTTTTAGCCTAAAACAAACACAGGAACCTAAAAAACTTAATTTATGCAAACAAGCTGATAATGTTATAAACGTAAATGATATACTTTTTATGGTGGGTAATGACAGAGATGCTTCAATTGCTTGCACTGATGTAGATGTAATACCAGCCTCTGAAAGTGGATCATCTGCTAATGCTACTTGTTTAGATTTATCTAATTTTCGTCATATAAATGGTAAAACTTTGCCTAATACTGATATTTTAGATAATATGCATATGATGAACTGCTGCAGAGCAAAGGTAAATTTATTATTTTAAAATTTAAATATTAAAAACTATAGATTTATTATTATTATCTTTTAAAGAAATCTGTTAATCAATGTCAAGAAATTATTGATAGTTTACTGGAGAAAACTAAAGATTCTGAAAGCTGTCCAACTTGTTCGCAAAATAAAACAAAAGAGCAAATAAGTAAATCGCCATATAAATCTTTAGAGTGTATATCTGATAGCAGATTTGCTTCTGGTAGTAGTTCAGGTAAACAATATTGTAATAATTGTTGGCAACATAGTATATTATCCTCATGTCGTTACAATAAAAAGCATTAATAGAAATCTAATTTATTTTAAAAACTTGTAACTTTAAAGAAAATAAAGAAATAACTTCTAAATAACTGGATTTTGTTTTCTTTTAAGATACCTACAATCCTTGTCAATGTATATCGGATGAATATGCTTCCGAGAGCAAAAGTATGATATGCAAAACGAAAGACATAAATGAAAAACCAACTAAAAGGTAAAAACATAAACATTCAAGCAAATAATATCCTTCTATATGTAACATCCATATATTCAGATACTGTCCCCTCTGTCATGAGAATGTCACCTGGTTGCCGAAATTTGCCGCTTGTCCCAAATGTGGTTTTAAGCCCATACCATACAACATTGAAAAGCCTTATGATGACAAACTAACAGCCGATCAAATTCTTAAGGAATTTTCCAACAACAAGACAGCTGACCAAACAATGGAACAACCAAGTGATGCCTCTTTAATAGATGGTGCTGAAAAATGTCGTTGTACTTGTAAAAATGGTAAAATTTGTGCCCATTGCCGTATTAAAAAACTTTGTGAAGATATTTTCAAAACACCTGAAAATGCTGAAGATGACTGCGGTAAATGTGTATCTAAATCTTCGGGTTTGTATAATATCTGTAAAACCAGCAGTCCAGACTGTCGCCCATATTTAACAAAAGTTTTTCAAGAGTTAAAAGATCTTTACCATATAAAGAAAACAAAAAATGAGAATATTATTGGTGATCATAGTCATAATGTTAAGACACCTATGGATAAGACACAAGAAGCCAAACATATAAAGAAAATAGATGAGCCATCAAGTAGACCGCCAAGTAAGGAAGCAAATTTAGAGGCTGAACGTAAAAAGTTTATGGTAAAAAATTTCCAAGAAGATGAGTCGTGCAAAGGTAAAATGTAAGTGAAAATGGAAAATTTTATATTGAAATTAGGAATAGATATTTCAAAGATGAGAATTTTGTATAAAAAGAGAAATTTTCAAAAAAAGAGAAATTTTCAATAAAGTTAAAAGAGAAATGTTTATAAACAAATTTCTTTCTGAAGGCAGATTTTGAAAAATGTTCCATTACCGTAGAAAATATTCTTTTTAGTTTAAACTTTAAACTTTAAAGAGAGATTTACTAGTAGGGATTTTAAAGAATCTTGTTTATAAATAGAATCTTGTTATTAAAGAAAAATATGGAATTTAAAAAAATTTCTAAAAAATATATGTATTTCCTTATAGTTTCGATTACAATAAGCGCCGCCAATATCCGGGCACTAAAATTGGACATAAAACTTGTTTAAATGGTTTTGCTGGACGAAAAAATGTTCCTCATAATATGGGTTGGCTGTGGAATGCCGAAACTAATGGTTTACGAAGAGGATGGCGGCCAGGTGCCATACGAAAACCTATTAAAACTTTAATGCAACATTTCCTTAACAACAACAATATGCAATTGTGCCTCGATTTGCAAGATAATGAAAATTGTCAAGAAAACAAAGAAGAAGAGAAGGATTATACCAAAGAACCTACACTGCATATATGTAAAAAGAATGGTGATTTCTATATAACGCTAAGACCCCTTAAAAATTATGAATGCTCAGAATCTTGTAATAATATGAAACCCATACAATTTAAAATAAGCAAAAATCCTTTATTATTAGAGAAACGCGAACTTAAACAATATTTAAAAGACTTGGGTTTTGCCAAATGTATTTGTCACAAACCAATATCGGGCTGTTGTTGTCGTAGCTTTTTGGAAAGAAAGAAACTGGCATATCAGTGTTGTAAGGAGTGTCACAACAGACAAATACCGAATTGTACAGATACTCTAATATTGTCAGATACTACAGATAGTGAAACTGAATTTGATTTTGGTGTTACACCACCGGCTGGTATCTTGCAACCTAATAAATGTTTAAAGAAAAGGAAAAAAGTTAGTTCTGCTACTCAGTATGAAGAAAATGATTGGAAGATAAAAGAAGAACATTCAAAACCTTTGGGCAAATATTTTAAATTACACAATTGCGCGGTGGGGCAACGATTTGGCAAAGCATTTGGACCCTATGGCAGTAAAGGTTATAGACCTGGAGCTGTTCCCACAGAGGGTATATATGGTCCTTGTGGTTTAATACCAGAAGGTGGACAGCATGGCTTCGGTAAAGGCGTTAGAGGTGGAGCTCTTAAAGGGCCAGGAGCCTTTTTAGGACCTGATGGAAAATTTAGTATGGCTTTATATTTAGCAGCTAAAGCTGCAAATAAACCTACTGCAGAGGAGTTGGCTGAGAAAAAGTATGTGTTTTTTATTTTCTATTATGAAATACTGTTATTTGTTTATTTGTTTATAGAAGACAAAAAATGGCTCTTTTGAGGGAGCGCTACCACCTTTGCTATGTAAGGGGATAGACGTGGCAAACCAATTGATATTTGCGCTCCTTATATTCCAATAACATGCAGTACAATGTGTTTAAGTGATGATCGTATATGTTGAAATGAATTCGTTTTAAAATGCTACTGGAAATTGTATAAAATAACTTTATTTAAAGTAATAAAAATCTTAATCATAATCAAAAAAGTTAATTTTTTCAAAAGTAATCATCTCTTGACTATTTAATCAAATTCAAAAAAGTTATAATTTTCTAAAAATAATCATCTTCTTAGACTGATAGAACTATAGACTAGACTATAGACTAGACTATAACAGACTATAGACTAGACTATAGACTAGACTATAGACTAGACTATAGACTGCTATAGACTAGACTATAGACTAGACTATAGACTAGACTATAGACTAGACTATAGACTAGACTATAGACTAGACTATAGACTAGACTATAGACTAGACTATAGACTAGACTATAGACTAGACTATAGACTAGACTATAGACTAGACTATAGACTAGACTATAGACTAGACTATAGACTAGACTACAGACTAGACTATAGACTAGACTATAGACTAGACTATAGACTAGACTATAGACTAGACTATAGACTAGACTATAGACTAGACTATAGACTAGACTATAGACTAGACTATAGACTAGACTATAGACTAGACTAGACTATAGACTAGACTATAGACTAGACTATAGACTAGACTAGACTATAGACTAGACTATAGACTAGATATAGACTAGACTATAGACTAGACTATAGACTAGACTATAGACTAGACTATAGACTAGACTATAGACTAGACTATAGACTAGACTATAGACTAGACTATAGACTAGACTATAGACTAGACTATAGACTAGACTATAGACTAGACTATAGACTAGACTATAGACTAGACTATAGACTAGACTATAGACTAGACTATAGACTAGACTATAGACTAGACTATAGACTAGACTATAGACTAGACTATAGACTAGACTATAGACTAGACTATAGACTAGACTATAGACTAGACTATAGACTAGACTATAGACTAGACTATAGACTAGACTATAGACTAGACTATAGACTAGACTATAGACTAGACTATAGACTAGACTATAGACTAGACTATAGACTAGACTATAGACTAGACTATAGACTAGACTATAGACTAGACTATAGACTAGACTATAGACTAGACTATAGACTAGACTATAGACTAGACTATAGACTAGACTATAGACTAGACTATAGACTAGACTATAGACTAGACTATAGACTAGACTATAGACTAGACTATAGACTAGACTATAGACTAGACTATAGACTAGACTATAGACTAGACTATAGACTAGACTATAGACTAGACTATAGACTAGACTATAGACTAGACTATAGACTAGACTATAGACTAGACTATAGACTAGACTACAGACTAGACTATAGACTAGACTATAGACTAGACTATAGACTAGACTATAGACTAGACTATAGACTAGACTATAGACTAGACTATAGACTAGACTATAGACTAGACTATAGACTAGACTATAGACTAGACTATAGACTAGACTATAGACTAGACTATAGACTAGACTATAGACTAGACTATAGACTATAGACTAGACTAGACTATAGACTAGACTATAGGCTATACTATAGACTAGACTAGACTATAGACTAGACTATACTATAGACTAGACTATAGACTAGACTATATTTATTAAATTTGATCAAATATTACTTCTAATGAACTTTGTGGAAGGAACTTACTTGAAATTCGGTCATTATTTAAAATTTTTTATCATCCATTTTAAAAAATTTGTGTTAATTTCAATACCCTATAACTAGATCTGTCAACATAAAATATTTTTCCTTTTTGTCATAAATTATTAAAATTGAAATAATTCTTTTGTAAATTTCTCAGAACAAATTGTTATATTTCTTAAATAATAATTTTACAGATCTTCAAATACCTTTTCAAATCAGCGAACCAAAATTATTGATTGTATACTTATTTATAGAAATTTATATTAATAAATGGCTACAAACGACAAATCTGCCCCAGTTGCAGAAACAATAATACATCCAGATTGCGAAAAGAGTCGCACTAAAGCACCAGCTACTAAAGACGCTACAGATGCAAATACGGTTAAAAATACAGCAGATACAATAAAGAATGGCAGAGGTTTTTTATTTGATATCATAGTAGTAAGACTGGATATACCTAACAAGACCATAGACGAAACCAGTAAATTATTAGTAGATGCAACTTTTAATGGCAACAATATCTCTATTACCTCAAGTCGTATAAATGTTTTGGATTTTAAAGCAGAACGCAGTTTTGAATTTGTTGCCAATCCATTAGATTTGAAGGCAGATTTAAGCAAAAATCCTTTAAGATTTAAAGTAACGGAAGGAGCAACAGTTATAGGTTGCTTAAATTTGGCATAGAAATTTAAGGAAGTTTATTAATTGTGTTTATTGTTTCATAATTAGGTTATGGTAGTTTGGAGTGGCCAGAGGAATTTTTGTCCGGCTTGGATGAATGTGCTGGCGAAATGACATATACTTTTGAAACTGAACTTAAAGAATGTGATGGTGCCAAAACTGGCACTATACAAGTAATACTACGTCTTCAACCGAAATGTAAGGAATATGAGTAAGTAGTTCGACAAAATATGAAACATTTACATATTACCATAGAATAAATTACTTTTTTAGGGAAGATACTTCTCCTGAGGCCAAATGTCGCAATGCTAATAAGGAAATTGATCCAAATGATATTCTGTTTGTAGTGGGCGAAGATAATAATCCTTGTTGTTGTTCTCAAGTCGGTATTATACCGGCATCGGATTCTGAACATGAGCTTATACCAAAATGTTTAGATTTGTCTAATTTCCGAGCGGTAAATAGTCAAAATGTGGCGAATACTGATATTTTATCTTCTCTGGATCCGGCTTGTCAAAAACTTAAGGTAAAGTTTTAAAGAAGAACAAATTTTTAATAGTTCCTCGGTTATAAAGAAGTAATTTTTGTATTTCGTCCGTTTTTGCAAAAAATAATAATAAAACAATTTTTTACATAGAAAACTTTTACACATTAAATTATATAAACAATAATTTGTTTAAATGACGTGAAAAAAAACTTCATTATTGCAATCCTTAAAAGCTAAGGATTGCAATAATGGAGTTTTTTCTGGAGTTTTATCCAAAGTACTATAATTTTGTTTTATTTCGAAGTATACTTAAATTTTCGATATATCGGAGGACCATATTCAGTAGTCGCTATCTTCATTTTCATGAAAATGAGATTTTGATGGCAAATATTCAGCAAACAATCTCACATCAGTGATCACGTCGTTAGAGTCACATCGTTCCGACGTCAATCGGTTCTTCGCATCGGAACGACTCGGAGTTTACCGAACGACAAAGGATTGTCAATTCAGCCACACATATGTACATATATGACTTTATCTCTATATGTAAATTTTGTCAATATTTCCATTTTTTCCAGGAAGTAACGAATCATTATCAAAAACTAGTTGATGCGGTAATGACTAAAGGTAAGGGGACACATACCGATAATGAGAAACGAAATAGAGGAAAAGGTGATGCAATTAACACACTCCCTTCTGACTGCTGCTTAAAGGTTAATGTAATTCCCTCGAGTTCAGGTACACATAATGGTCGCATAAACAATGGCAGCAAACTCAGTTCTTTCCTGAGTATTTTCCAATAAAGTGCTATTTAAAGTGGATTTAAAATTGCTCTTAATCTTTATTAACTTAAATAATAGAGAAAGTATAAATATCTTTTGCAATACAAATATAGAGATTGTTGCCTTTGTTTCTACCCTCTCCAAATATTGAACACCTATTAAACCATCTAAAATTTATATTAAATTTATACAATGTTCTTATTCTACAGATTCTTATAGAATGCCATTATATTGTCCATCAGATAATAGAGATTTTACTGCAAAGAATATAAGACAAATGGCCCACAAAAATTCGCCACCGGATATAGTGGAAAATGAACCGGAATCTTTAAGGTAAGCAATCAACTGATGTTGAAGTTATTTCATTATATGTACAATCGGATTAGAATCACTTCAAATGTCAAATAACTATATTAAACTCTATAGATCTCGGTCCATAATAAACCCAACACTCTATAGAGAATCTTCTTACGCTATTTATGTATAACAAATTTCATTACAATGCCAATATTATTACAAGATCTACAAGTGCTTGTCTGATTTTCGAAATGAAGATCTCTGTAACTCAAAAGAACTTGATAGAACAATGAATAAATTATGGGCATATAATTGAATTAAAGTCAATAGGATTCGTTCCTAACTCAAGGAAGAAATGTTTACCATTAAATTATTACTATAATTTCGACACATATACATATAATTCTTCCAAACTTCAGTCCATCATAGAACCCAATAGTAAGACGTATTTCAATATTCAATTTTGAATCAATAAATAAATAAATTAGTTATTATACTTAATACTGTGAGAATTAGTCAATTGTTTCTCCTTTACCTTCCAGACACTGTCCACTTTGTAAAGAAAATATGACATTTCTACCAAAATTAGCTGCCTGTCCAAATTGTTGCTACAAACCTGAACCCTATTTCGAAGAGAAACTCTACAATGATACACAGACTGCTGATCAAATACTAAATGAATTTCAAGATAAATTACATAACAACAACGATCCATCTAGTAGTGATACAAATTTAAATGGACAACAAAAATGTCGTTGTACCTGTAAATATGGCGCTAATAAACCATGTGCCCATTGTCGTATACGAAAACTTTGTGAACATATTTTTCAACCAGCTCCACCAATGACGAACAACGATGGGGTAGTCGAAGCAAAATCTTCTGAAGTTTATTGTGCTAGCAGCGATAATCGACCATTTTTGACGAGAATATTTTCGGAATTAAAAGATCTCTATGAAATTGAAGATGTAAAAAAGAAAGAATTTGTACCGGATGAACGTTGTGAAAGGGAGCTGAATAAAGAGAAAAAACAATCGAAATTAAAAAATGAAAAGAAAGAAGAGGTTAAGAATGAAGAAAATGAAGTGGAGAAAGAAGTTAGTAAACCAAAAAAATGCAAAAAACGAAAGAAGCGTTCGTTGAAGCCGGCTTCGGAATTGGCTGT